CTACTGTAATCTATAAACAGTTGAACGTAACGAAGTGCAACGAAGTGAAGTTCAACACACCTGTAATCTATAAACCTACTGTAATCTATAAACAGTTGAACGTAACGAAGTGAAGTTCAACACACCTGTAACCTATAAACCTACTGTAATCTATAAACAGTTGAACGTAACGAAGTGAAACGAAGTGGAGTTCAACACACCTGTAACCTATAAACCTACTGTAATCTATAAACAGTTGAACGTAACGAAGTGCAACGAAGTGGAGTTCAACACACCTGTAACCTATGAACCTACTGTAATCTATAAACAGTTGAACGTAACGAAGTGCAACGAAGTGGAGTTCAACACACCTGTAACCTATGAACCTACTGTAATCTATAAACAGTTGAACGTAACGAAGTGCAACGAAGTGAAGTTCAACACACCTGTAACCTATAAACCTACTGTAATTTATAAACAGTTGAACGTAACGAAGTGCAACGAAGTGGAGTTCAACACACCTGTAACCTATGAACCTATGATACTGTAATCTATAAACAGTTGAACGTAACGAAGTGCAACAAAGTGAAGTTCAACACACCTGTAACCTATAAACCTACTGTAATCTATAAACAGTTGAACGTAACGAAGTGCAACGAAGTGGAGTTCAACGCACCTGTAACCTATGAACCTACTGTAATCTATAAACAGTTGAACGTAACGAAGTGCAACGAAGTGGAGTTCAACACACCTGTAACCTATGAACCTATGATACTGTAATCTATAAACAGTTGAACGTAACGAAGTGCAACAAAGTGAAGTTCAACACACCTGTAACCTATAAACCTACTGTAATCTATAAACAGTTGAACGTAACGAAGTGCAACGAAGTGAAGTTCAACACACCTGTAACCTATGAACCTACTGTAATCTATAAACAGTTGAACGTAACGAAGTGTAACGAAGTGAAGTTCAACACACCTGTAACCTATGAACCTACTGTAATCTATAAACAGTTGAACGTAACGAAGTGCAACGAAGTGAAGTTCAACACACCTGTAACCTATAAACCTACTGTAATCTATAAACAGTTGAACGTAACGAAGTGCAACGAAGTGAAGTTCAACACACCTGTAACCTATAAACCTACTGTAATCTATAAACAGTTGAACGTAACGAAGTGTAACGAAGTGAAGTTCAACACACCTGTAACCTATGAACCTACTGTAATCTATAAACAGTTGAACGTAACGAAGTGCAACGAAGTGAAGTTCAACACACCTGTAACCTATAAACCTACTGTAATCTTTAAACAGTTGAACGTAACGAAGTGCAACGAAGTGAAGTTCAACACACCTGTAACCTATAAACCCCCTATAATCTTTATTTCTCTATTTCATTAGAATAAGACTAAAAAGTTGAAAATAAAATACTTTATAAAAAAAACTTTTTAAAAAAACTACGTTTTTCGCGTAGACTAAAAAGTAGAAAATAACTTTTATTCTTGGTTGTAAAGAATTTGGTTTTAAATTTTCAGATTATATTTAATAAATTTTTATATCCTAGTCAATATTGTTCACAAAGTTTCGAATAAGTGCATTTTGATCTTATCGTATAACTCAACAACTTAAAAACGTGGGCGCATTATAAGAGGAGAAATAAGTTTATGTGAAATCAATACTTTATGATAAACTTAAATTAATGCGCCCACGTTTTTAAGTTGTTGAGTTATACGATAAGATCAAAATGCACTTATTCGAAACTTTGTGAACAATATTGACTAGGATATAAAAATTTATTAAATATAATCTGAAAATTTAAAACCAAATTCTTTACAACCAAGAATAAAAGTTATTTTCTACTTTTTAGTCTACGCGAAAAACGTAGTTTTTTTAAAAAGTTTTTTTTATAAAGTATTTTTGAAAATAGCCTACTATGATCAAAACCAAAAATGTTTTCAATTGCATTTCAGAACATATATAGGTATTATAAATGATAAAGAATGCTAATATAGATATAAAATCGATACATTTTTGAAAATAGCCTACTATAATCAAAACCAAAAATGTTTTAAATTGCATTTCAAAACATATCTAGGTATTATAAATGATAAAGAATGCTAATATAGATATAAAATCGATACATTTTTGAAAATAGCATTCTATGATCAAAACCAAAAATGTTTTATATTGCATTTCAAAACATATCTAGGTATTATAAATGATAAAGAATGCTAATATAGATATAAAATCGATACATTTTTGAAAATAGCCTACTATAATCAAAACCAAAAATGCATTAAATTGCATTTCAACACATTTCTAGGTATTATTATAATTAAAGAATGCAAATATTAATATAAAATCGATACATTTTTGAAAAAAGCCTACTATGATTAAAACCAAAAATGTTTTCAATTGCATTTCAAAACATATCTAGGTATTATAAATGATAAAGAATGCTAATATAGATATTAAATCGATATTTAATTTGAAAATAGCCTACTACGTTCAAAACCAAAAATGTTTTAAATTGCATTTTAAATTATATCTAGCTATTATAAATGATAAAGAATGCTAATAAAGATATAAACTCGATACATTTTTGAAAATAGCCTACTATGATCAAAACCAAAAATGCTTTAAATTGCATTTCAAAACATTTGTAGGTATTATTAAAGATAAAGAATGCTAATATAAATATTTAATCGATATTTTTTTTGAAAATAGTCTACTATGATCGAAATTAAAAATGCTTTAAAATGCATTTTAAAACATATCTAGGTCTTATAAATGATAAAGAATGCTAATATAGATATTAAATCGATACATTTTTGAAGATAGCCTACTATGATCGAAACCAAAAATGCTTTAAAATGCATTTTAAAACATATCTAGGTTTTATGAATGATAAAGAATGCTAATATAGAATGCTATAAATTGCATTTGAAAACATATGTGTGGAAGTGATGCTTTTTGTCTTTGAGTAGTTGGATGAATTTTTCGTAGTCATCCCAACTCTCCGTTGTTACCGTTTTTGTTCCTTGTTTGCCAATTTTGGTCTCGATTAAGAAGCTTTCAGGTTGATTGTTTATTTCATTCGTCAACCTCTTGATTTCACTAGTTCCACCTGCGCCGATGACAATTGGAGGTGGTTTTGATTTTTGTTGAGATTTGTTGTTCTTGCTTTCCTTGTTTACGGAAATTGTCTTTTGTTGCTCTGATGTTTTGCTGTTTTCTCCCCAGTACGATGAAGTTGTCGATCTTTTTTTCTCCTGTTCTGGTGAACCAAATAGATACGGTTTTCCAGAAGACGAAGCTTTCTTCATTGGTGGGAGTTCGAATAGTTGGTTTGTTCCCATCTTTTGGTTTGCTTTCGTTTGCTACTTTTTTTAAAGGAGCGCTGGGATGATCACTTCTCGAGGGCGTTTTTCTGCTTTACTTGCTACATTGGGAAACTTCTTTATTGTTATTTGTTTTTTTGGTTTGAGATTTGTCATCTCAATGTCGGCTGCTTGTGAAACATTTTCACTGATAATTTCCTCAATATTGAGAATTGTCACTGAAGATGAGAACTATTAAGTCCATGCTGATTTTGAGAAAGATTTTCTTCGTTGTTGGTAGTTTTTGGTGATTCTACCTTTTTGATGTTTTAAGAATCAAACTGAGATTTTGAAACTTTTTGCGAACAAAAAGCTTCACAGAGCCCCTCTGTTTTGTTATGACGTCGTACTTCAGTCAATTTAAAACTTGTTTAACAAGCTATTTAAAAATGAGAAGCAACTTTGGAAAATGCTTGCTCAAAGTAGATTTTATGCTTAAATATTTATCGACACATGGAAACACTTTTGAGCTAGTATTTGTTTTGCCAAATGTGTGTCTGTGAAATACGCGGAAGCTAGTTGTCAGAGATTGGTGAAACTTGGCCTGAATTACGTCCATTCACGTTCCGCATTTACAAGGTTTTGAAAGTAATTATCAAATTTCGTCCTGTAAAAAATTTCGGAATCGGATATAACCTGAAGGTGTTATGGACGATCAAAATTTTGGATAATACTCCTCGTGGACCAATATTTTTTTTTCCAAAAACCTATCATGTTTTATATCAACCACGTCAACTTTTCTTCGGTATCTTAAAGGTGATAGAATTATTTAAGTCCAACCTGTCATTCTAGATGTTAGAATGTATATTGGTAAACATGAAAACAGTTTTGAACGGTACTGTATAACTTTTTCATTTATAATGACATGGAACTATAGTCCTTTCCTAAACATCTTAAAATACATGTTTTTGGTTAAAAAAATTTCCAACAAATTCCAGGACAAATTTTTAGGAGTCACTATTTTTCAATTGAAATTAGAAATCATTAATTATAGTATAAAGACACTGTTTAAAGATTTTTAATTGTTTGATCGGCTAATAACTTTACGAACTGAGCTGGCAAAACAAACCCGAGCTTTCTACGATGTCTCGTTAAAAAGTTTTTAATCAAGTCCTTGCGAGCGAACGAACAAACAAAGTGTAAAGTGCGACAAAGATTGAGTCAAACTAAGCAAAAAGACTGATGTAAAGCCTTGATGTAAACCTTGATCAATCGTGAAGCTGTAAAAGTGCGTTTGAGTTCTAAACTTTTAATTCGAAAGTTGTCATAATTAGAGCATTTTAATGGAAACGAATCAGACTAAAAGCTAGTAAATGGAAAAATAAATGATTAATACTAGCAAATGAATTTGAGAAACAAGTTAACTAAAGGAAAAATAAACTCTTGTGAAAAATTATATCCATGGAATCGGCCTTTTTTTATTTTTGGAAACTTTACAAATGTTTCATCCAATCAAAAAAGTTATAAGCACGAAAACGACTAGAGAGAACAAACAATGATTCACAATAATTGTAGTCTTTTTGTTCAAACTACACAAAGGTGTAGGAATGTAAGCATTTGAATTGTTTTGGGGTGTTTCAAATGATGTCTATCACAAAAGTGAATTTTTCATGCTATGAAAATATAAGACGTCGCATACGAACGACTCTATTGTCGCTGTTGATATTTTTATTTTTTTATAATAAATATTTTTTTGAGACTCTAAACCATAATTTAAAAAAAAGCGGATAGTATTGTTCATTTAGTTATCAAGTCACTAATCAGATTGATTAGGCGAAGTGCAGTGAAGTTCATTATTTTCTGGTAAATATATTGATTGGGAGCTTTAAAATTTTTTAAATGAATATAAAATTGTATAACATATAATTAAACAGAAAAAAAATCAACTTTGAACTAGGTATCTATAATGACTATTTAGTTGCCTCAATGAAATAATGAGCATTCAATTTTCTGAGTAAAGGTCATTTTATTATTTTTATCTCAAAAATAAAAGAATTTATGCTTAATCCTCTTATCTCTTTATAAAATTATATATGTAAACTTTTTTTGTTTTTTTTTTTTCTTTTTTAGTAAATCAAAGATCAGGTTCTTTATTCAAATAAGATGTCTTTGCAAAACATCAAACTTCACATAATCACGATTATAATAGCGATAATCATTCAACCTGATATAAATGGTTAGTATATAATTAGCTATTCAATGTATGGTTGATCTGAATTATCAAGCCTCTACACACGGTTCCAACTTGATGGATAGAGTTAATTTATTTTTGAAATAATTGCTTAAAAAATTACAAAAGTGCTCGTGCTTCATTGAGAGATTTAGCGTATTTTTAATCTGTATTTACTGAGAAATTTAATGTAAATCAACAAGAAAACTTTAAACACATTATTTCTTTGTTATAATATTTCTGTTAGATACATGTTTCTATTTCCTTTTAAATAATGAAATATTTGGATTTTTACATAAGTATAAACGACTTTTTACGAAAAAAAAGGAGTTAAAAATTAATTTAAAACTAAATTTCTTCCTTAATTCGAAACGTTTTCATTACAATATTGAATACATTCAGCTCTTTCTTTGATATTTCCGCGTTTTTTCAAACAAAAAACTCCAAAAAGAATAAAATTTGAATAAAATATTAGTTTTTAAGAAATTTCGTAAGAAATCATAAACTTCACAATTTAATTAAATGCAATCAATATTCTAGCTTTACAATCTGATTGTTAATTCAAAGTAAAAATAATTTTAACGATCGTATTGTTATGAAAAAATTTATCAAATTTATTGTTAAGTTTAGTTTACATTGAAATAATAATGAAAAATGTTAATTTTTTTATGAGTGGTATATGTATCTAGTCATTGGGTTGTCTAATTAGCTCAATTTAAAGAAATATTAAATTAAAGTCATATTTTTGAAAAACACACCCATGAAATGGCTCACACAACAAAATGTATCATCATATGCGGTAATAACATGAGTTTATTTTCTATTTTACAGTATATGGAGCTTTAAATACATCAGAAATAAATGAATTTAAAAATTCTGTTGTGAACAATTTGCCCGAAGGAATAACTATGTTACCCGAATTAAAGGATATAGACGTAGGCGAGGGAATAAAGCAAGCATCCGATATTTTTAAACAAAAATGCATTGAAAATTCTGGAAGTGATGCAGCATTTGAAGAAGCTTCGGTAGAATAATTAATTTTTCTATTAATTTTTTAAGATTACCAAACTTTTTTTTCTGTCACAAATTGTTCAGCAAGCATTGAGTACACTTATGGAATGCGTTCAAAATATCATAGATTTTAGCAATATACAACAAGAAATTGAAGAAGCAAAACCAAACGGAAATTTAGATACTGTATTTAATAAATATTGCAATAAGAGAAATGACGGTGTAGCGTGCGTAGACACATTTACAACATCGATTGATCCTTGTTTGACACAGGAAGAAAAAGACCAAAAAACTGTTTTTATCAATATCACAAAAAGTTTATTAGAATTCATTTGTCACGAGTAAGTAAATAATAATTGTTTTGAATTTGGACTAGATTTCTTTAAATTGAATGTTTTTTTTTAAGGAATGGTAATCAAATAGCACTATTTATAGCTGAAGAAGGTCCGGAGTGTTTTGAATCAAAAAGAGATAATTTACTAAACTGCTTCAATAAAACAATGGGAAAATATGTAAAAGATGAAATGCCAACTATAGAAAATCTTCCGACTTTAGTTATAAAGGAGGAAAATTGTGTCGATATGGACAAATTAGAGGAATGTGTTGTTTTTGAATTAGAACAATGTAAAGAAAGCACACCCGCGAATCTAGTCGAAGCATTGTTTAGATTCGTCAGGAAGGAGACACCCTGTGGAAAAAAGAAAATAGGGACTAATCCCAATTCAAGTGAAAATGTTAAATTATCTGTTGCATTATTTGGAACGTGGATAATGGCAACACTTATAAATGTGATTTTAATGCCTCATTCATATTAAAAGATTCTATATTACAATCATTATATTGTATATGACCAAAAAAACGTATTGTATGAATCACTAGAAGTGGTGAGATTAATCTGGGTAATGGGTTGGAAAGGCTAAAATATACGCAATTATTAAAAAATTATTTTTAAGATAATAGAATAAGTAATTCAAAAGTAATTTTGTATTTTTTTTTATTTAAAAGCATTTGCTTTTATTGCAGTGTAAAATAAAATAATACAAAAAGCTCCAATACAAAATTTCAAAAATGTTCATTATAGTTATTTTAAATACAAACATCAAAGGTTCGCATACGATTGAAAAAAACAAATATAAGAAATAAAAATTTACAGCAAAACTCAAAAAAATGATGATCGTTCAAAACACCTAAAGGTTTTTTTTTTGATTTGTTTGATTTATTTGTATATAATTTTGCAATTGAGATACAAAATAGAAATTCTTATGACTAGCTATATCACATTACATTTTATTAATTTCACAATAAGATTCGTAGAAATTTTACCTCTAAACATTTCAAATTTATAAAACCTAAATTTTCTGCATCTAGAGTTTTTAATCTCTATATACATTTGTATATAGGTGTTAAAAACTGCACGTGCAGTTTTTTACTTCTAATGATTTTTCCATTAGAAGTGAAAAACTACACGTGTAGTTTATAACTTCTATATACATTTATATACAGAGATTATAAACTGCATGTGCAGTTTTTAATTTCTAATGAAAAAATCACTAGAAGTAAAAAACTGCACGTGCAGTTTTTAAAACCTATATACTAATGTATATAGAGATTAAAAACTCGAATTGCAGAAAATTAATCCTCGGATTTAACTTTAAGCTTTTTGCTGGATTAACCAATTTTGATTATTTAAACGGTTTTGAGTAGGAATTTCAATCCCGGGATCCCGAAAACCGGAATAATATAAATAATAATATAAATTATTCTAAATAGAAGAAAAAAAAGGCTTAATAAGGGATAGTGGCTTGTTAAAAAATTGCAACCAACAAGAAAAATTAATAATTTTCATTAAAATCTTTAATTTTTCAAGTCAAAACCATGATGAAACTATTCTAGCTATTAATATCTATCATTTAATCACTTTTAAGTTTACTCGGAAAGCTTTTTACCTTTAAACATATGTTGAACAAAACTTGGTCTTTTCACAAGCCTTTCGATCAGGGGCGTAGCCAGGGGGGGCCATAGGGGGCCCGGGCCCCCCCTACGAAAATCTGATAATTGTTTTATTAAGTATTTACAGAGAAGAACCAGTTAATGTAGAGGAAGTGATGAAAGAAATGTAAAAATCAGCACGAAAAATTAAATTTAATGTATGAATATTGAATTAAATATTTAAACTTATCAAGAATGAATATAGATTTAAGGATTCAAAATAACGGTTTTTAATTTTCGAAAATGGGCCCCCCCTTAAAAATTTTCTGGCTACGCCCCTGCTTTCGATGGTACGGTGTGAATATATCCGCTTTAAGTATCTACCTGAAACAATAGTTGAAATTCAAATTTCTAGTGTTCAAAATCTCACCAAAAAACTCGTGAGAAAAATTTTGTATGAAATTTTTGAACACATTGCTGAATGTGAGGAACTAGCCGTTGAGCCCCTTTTCACTTGAATTTCAAAACAAATGCTATGCCATCGTAAAGGATGATTTAAAATGAACTTTATTTATCATTCAAAGTTGTGGAAATGGTCAGTTCCCAAAAGTTCAAAAATCTTTATTTTCTCAATTTTTGGTTCTGATTCCATTTTCAAACAAATTTTCTGAAAAATTTTCCCTTGTGACTTCTCAAATTGAAATTAAAAATCTCAATTGAGATTAAGAAGTGAGAAAAAATCTCACGAGATTTGAAAACTTGCGAGATTTCAAATCAAGTTTTCTCCGAGAAAATTTTTCTCACGTGTTTTTTGGTGAGATTTCGAACACTACAACTTTTATAACGATAGAAATAAATTCGAATTTCTGAACTCACTCATCACGTGTTTTTTATTTGAAATTAAAAAATCCTATGGTCGGCAAAGAGCTTATAAAATCAGTTGAAACTTAAAAGATTTGAATTTGTATTTTTTTTATTTCAGACGGGAAGCAAGTTAAGCAAGTTAAGAAAAACGTGGTAAAAATGAGTTACAATTCTTCTCGAACTTGAAATTATAAAATTTTTGAATACTTTAATTTCACTAAACTTACGCTTTACGAAAACCAGCTTAACATATTCATTTACTATTTTATTTTCACAAACAACATTCTAATCAATAAATATGTTGTTAATTTAAGTAAAATTTTATTTTTTTAAAATAATTTTTTAACGGATTAGGAAAATAAACGCTTTTGCGTTGCACTTGTACAGAAATTGAATTAAAGTTCTTCATTTTTGTACTCAATAAGTGTTTTATAAGGTAAATTAAGTATGCACAATAATAAAACAACAAATATGTAACAAACTGTAAATCAATAGTTTGAAGTTGTCTAGACGTTTAGAAAGTAGAAAACCTTTGGTAAAAGTTCAAAATTTTGCATTATGTACAAGTGCAACGCTTACAAAAAGTCAAATATTTTGTAATTTAAAGCATGTAGAAGGAACCAACTGCAACAAAAGAATATAATTTATCGCCATACATAAGTATATTTGGTGCTAAGAACGACTAGATAGCTTAATAAAGATAAATAATGTTTCATTGACGAATTTTTTGAAAACGTCAATCGATAGAATTGTCCATTTATGTTATTAGTCTTGTCAATAACATACTCAAAACCGTTTATATAATCAAAATTGGTTAATCCAGCAAAAAGCTTAAAGTTAAATCCGAGGATTAATTTTCTGCAATTCGAGTTTTTAATCTCTATATACATTATAGTAATCTCTATATACTCTGTATATAAATGTATATAGAAGTTATAAACTACACGTGTAGTTTTTCACTTCTAATGGAAAAATCATTAGAAGTAAAAAACTGCACGTGCAGTTTTTAACACCTATATACAAATGTATATAGAGATTAAAAACTCTAGATGCAGAAAATTTAGGTTTTATAAATTTGAAATGTTTAGAGGTAAAAAACTTTAGGTGTTTTGAACGGTTTCATATGTTTCAAGATTTAAAGCTTGGCGTTTTTTTTTTTATTATTAAACCTTTTTTCTATTTACCAAACTTTATTTCTATTATTTGCTTCGACGACTGTTGAAGTTCGCTTACAACTTTCCAGGGATAAGTTGATGAGATGTTGATCTTTCTGCTCGAAAGCAACACTTTTTTTACACGCTTTTATTTAACTCACTCTGTTATGGAGCGTCAAATCTTGTAATCGATTTTTCGATCACTTCTACTGCTCCAATCTAGCTCAATTTTTTTATACACAGGTATTTTTAAACTTTATTTATTTATCGAAAACAGAATGAAAAAAATATTGATCTCAAAAAAGTTCTAGTCATTTGAGTGGATCAAAAAGTAAACACAAGCGCAACCAGCATTGGTGAAAAATCAAAAATCGCAAAAAGTTTATGAAACATTAATTTTTGAGTTTTAATAGTCCTAAATATCATAAAAAACCTAATAACAATACTTAATTTTGTTTGTAAGCGGTATTTCTAGAAATGACGTTTTTGAGATTTTCGCTACTTTGGGATCGATCACAAACAAAGCTTATATTCATGACCAAGATCAATATTAATCATCAAGTATTATACATCGCTAAAAAGGTACTGACCTAAGCTACAATAAACTGAACACAAAACTTAAATATATTGAGCCAAACAAAAGTTAGAGCAGTTTGAGTGTTGGGAAAAACATACAAGTCGTCAGATATCAAAAGTACCCTTTACCTCGACAGATTTTGAACTTTTTGGAAAAAATTTCTTCACAGGTTGTCTTTAAATTGCATTTAGCATTGAAAAACATCAGAAAACTTATTTGTTGTTAATCATTGTAATTTATATTACAAATTTAAGTTTTTGACGAAATATTCAACGACTCACTAAAACGCAAATAAACTTCTTATGTAGTGGGTCTAGGGAAAAAGTTTGTATAGTTTTGAAAACTACAAATCAAAGAATACACGCTTATGTTATTCTACCCCCTATTATTCGGCGATCTAAGGCACTTGCGTCGTGTGCGAAGATAATTTTTGCAGAATTTTCATTCATTTCCTATCCCTTCAACTTCAAACAGCCATAAAATCGCAGAAAGCTTTATGGCTTGTTGATGGCTCTTCATTCAACGCAATATTATTGTTATTGCTGTTGTTAGCACTTGTTAATGCTATTTGAATGATTCCAGCAGCACCTTCACCCTGCGTGGACACTACTGGAGCTTCATTCTGGAGCACTAAATGACTTGATATTTGGGATAGAAGTCTATTTTTACGTCTACTATAAGAAAAAAAATACCCCGAAGTCATAATTTGAAATTTCCCAAAATATTGGTGAATGTCCGATTTTTAGAAATTAGAAAATAATATAAAAAGCACATAATAAAAATGTGCAGTTATCGAGAAAAATGAATTTAAATACTGAAAAATTCAGGTAAGGAAAACTAGTGAAAATCTCAATGGGAAATTCTGAAACTTTTACGAATTATTAACATTTGTATAAGTAATAACTGTGTAAAGTCATTGTTGAGAAAAACGAAAAACATTAAAAACTTGCGTATATGAAATGCGTTTTTTTTTTACCCAAAGTGACCATATTACTAGCAAATTTTCCAACACTTTTCAAATTTGATAAGCTTTCCAAAAATATATAAGCGCAACACTATGGGACAAAATCGAAATTTTTTTCCAAAAATTATTATATTGGCTTATTTGAAAGGCCTTTATCCAAGAAATCAAAATCTATTTTAATTTTGGCCCAAAGTGCAGCAGTGCTGGAGATATAGCCCGAATTGTATTTTGATGTTCGATAGTTAATATTTTCAATTTATCAGAACTTTTTCTTGTCTCAACTAATTTTCTCGAAATTTTTTTTAATGACAGATATAAGTCCAAGCTTAAATATAAATATAAGTCACATAAGTTTTACTTCATGAAAAGTGCTTAAAAATTGACGAAACTTCAAATGTTATTTCTACAAGTTCTACTAGATCTACAAGAAAAATATCCCTTTCAAGGTTTAAAGTTATATTTATGCATCAAACAATTGAGATTTTTTTCAAAAAATATACGGTTTTTAACTATGCTTTGACTTCAATTGACTATAACTGCATATTCCAAGTGTGTGGAGAGACAAGTTTTAACCAAATTTTCAACTTTGAACTATTTAAAACATGTCATCTACATGCACCTCAAAAATCTTTTTCAACTTTTTTCATCAACATCATGCCTAAACTTGATAAAACTTTCAGCAATGTTAGAAAAAAGTGTTTTTGATGTTTTAAAATAAATTTGTATTTTTGGCATGGACTTGGACCATTTTTATTTGAAATGTCATCATTTTCCATTTTCAATAAGATGTAAATGACTTTAAAACTGAAATCTCAAGTATATATTATAAATTTGGTATTGCTGGAAAGATAAAAGTACTGGCTATAAGATAATATCAAATTTTGAGTTATAAATTTATAATATATACTTGAGATTTCATATAGTTTTGAGCAAAAATGTTAAGTATGGTTCTTCACACACACCTCGAATTTTGAGTAATTTTTCAGTTTTTTTAACATTATTCAGGGACATTGTACTCATATATGACATATTATATATCGTTGGAAAGGTAATTTAAGCAGCTCAACATAAAAGATAATACAAATACTTTTTGTTAAGCATATAGTGTATTTAAAGTCATTTACATCTCATTGAAAATGGAAAATGATGGCATTTCAAATAAAAATGGTCCAAGTCCATGCCAAAAACACAAATTTATTTTAAAACATCAAAAACACTTTTTTCTAACATTCCTGAAAGTTTTATCAAGTTTGGGCATGATTTTGAATTAATGCTGTTTTGGCATTAAAACTTGTCTATCCACTCACTTGGAATATGCAGTTATAGTCAATTGAAGTGAAAGCATAGTTAAAAACCGTATATTTTTTGAAAAAAATCTCAATTTTTTGATGCATAAATATAATTTTAAACCTTGAAAGGGATATTTTTCTTGTAGATCTAGTAAAGGGATACAATTAAATGAAAAAGGAAAAACATTTAAATGCATCAGAAATCTACATACTCAAAAAAAGTGTGCCGTATTACTAACATTTGAAGTTTCAATTTTTAAGCACTTTTCATGAAGTTAAACTTATGTGACTTATATTTATATTTAAGCTTGGACTTAAAAATTCGATTTTATCCTATAGTGCGCAATTCTTTGGATGACTTTTTGAAAATTTTTAACAAAAAATCGATTTTTTTATTAATTTTTCTCATTAGAGGTTCTGATTTTATGATTTTTATCGAAGCAAAAATTTAAAATGTATAATACTTTTGACATCATATTCTTTTATTCGCTGTTAATTAAGTTATTTGGATTCTTTAGTCAATAACTCGATGACAGAAATAGGAATTTTACATTTTCATCATCCAAATAATCGTCCTAATCCATAAAAAATATAGAATTTTCAAACATATTTTTTCACTTAATTTGGTTGAGTTGTAACATTTCAATAGATTACTTGTTAAGAATTAATAGTGCTTTATGATCTTTAAAAGTTCCAGCTTATTGATCCGTCACAGTGAAATTAAAATTAAAGAAAATAATTTTGAAACAAAACTCATTGACAATGGATTATTAAAGCCAGGGTGGGGAGAATTTCATGAGTTAACTCACAATGCAAAAAATGAATTTGAGTTAAAATTCCGTTACAAAATGAGTTTGAAAATGAATTTGAATTTAACTCATTTTTCAAAATGAGTTTTTTTTTTGAGTTTGAGTTTAAACTCATTTTTCAAAAGGAGTTGAAAAAAGAATTTGAGTTTAAACTCATCTGGAAAATTGAGTGGAGTTTTGAATTGGAGTTTTAAAAACTCCCTAAATTCCTTTTCTTAAAAAATTCATCTCTGAAACTCTGCAGCAGTCATATCAGCAAGAATTATGGATTGACCCTTTCGAGAAATTAAGGCAAAAGTGGCAACTCGTAAAAAATCGTTGAGTTTCAGGGATGAATTTTTTAAGAAAAGGAATTTAGGGATTTTTTAAAACTCCAATTCAAAACTCCACTCAATTTTCCAGATGAGTTTAAACTCAAATCCTTTTTTCAACTCCTTTTGAAAAATGGGTTTAAACTCAAACTCAAAAAAAAAAACTCATTTTCAAAAAATGAGTTAAATTCAAATTCATTTTCACTCATTTTGTAACGGAATTTTAACTCAAATTCATTACAAAACTCATTGGAAAATGAGTTTGAATTTTAGTTTTGAGTTAACTTCCCACCCTGATTAAAGCTCATTTTTGTGAATTCCACTCATCCAAAGAATTGCCTTTGAAAGCAAACCTCACAAGTTTGGACAAAGTATAGTCCATATTGTTATACACATTTGAAGGTATAATTTTAATTTTTATAAAAATGTTACTATAATGATGTACTTTTCATGTCGGTGTTTTAAATATTCTGCTGATCGAATATTCACAATGCATGCAAAAAAGAATATCTTGTAGTTGATTTTAGTTTGAAAAGTTGATACATCTGAAAATTTTAGATACAAATTATCATATTCATTGCAGAACCGTAAAACTTTATTAAGAAAAGATAAACGTTTTAAAGTATTAATTACATCATTACGCATTAATTTATTTTTTTTTCTTTCTTAGGTTTTAAAAAATTACATAGTTCTTCATTATCAAATAAATCTCTGTAAATTACTTATTTTTATGGATTCAAAGTTTTAATTTCTGAAGTTCTTATGTAGGCTATATGTATGTAAGTTAAATTTCTTAGCATCTTTTTTTATATTTGCAAAAAAAATTATTTATATTTCAAAACGACGACTATTTCCTTAAATGCAAACAGGTTGTGAAAAAAAAAATAGATAAAAGGATCATGTAATGACGGATGATGAATCTTGTAGTTGATTTCAGTTTTAAAATTCTAGATACCAATCAACTACTTATAAAACATTCTTTAGTTCAATGTCAAAAACAAGCGTCGAATTTTGAGGAATAACAGGAGGATTTCCTTTAGAACCGTAAGCAAATGCAGGCGGGCAAACAAGTCTTCGTTTTCCACCTACTTTCATACCAATGAGTCCGATATCCCAGCCTTTAATTACTTCTCCCCGTCCTAAAGTCATTTTAAATCCTTGTCCCGATTTTGTAGCATCAAATATTTTGTTATTGTTCTTTAAGCGTCCTTCATAATAAACTTGAATTTTCTTTCCAACTTTAGCTTCTGCACCACCTCCAATTTTTAAATCCTGACATTCCAAACCTCCTTGCAACTTTCGAACCTGTCCAATCTTTTCATCTTTTTGTTGAGTTTTCTTCTCTTGGCCATTTGTTGTTCCATTTTGTTGCTTTTTGTCTTTCTTCTTATCCTTTCCACTTGGTTCTAATTTTTGCTGCTTTGGTTTAGGTGGTGCTACCTCTTCCTCTTCATCAGACTCATTCTCAACTATAATTTAAATAAAGGTAAAATTATATTGTGTACCAATTTGTCATATTCACACAAAATTTTTAATTTTTATGAATATTTTCTACAATTTCTATTTGAATAAAACTAACCATCGTCCTCTTCTTCTTCTTCATCATCAGCACTTTCGTCGTCATCTACAATTTTAGGTAATATCGAATTTTTAAAATAAATGAATTTAAAAAAATTACAGAAGTCCTCGTTTTACTAATCGAGAGACTTTAGCGCATTTGTGACGCGTAATCTAAAACGTACGTGAGTTAATATATTTAACTAGGTAGAGGAAAAACAATTTCAATAAATTCGTGTTTTATTCCGAAAGAACGAACAAACAAGTTTCAAAAATGGGTTAAAAACTAGTATGGAGCCCGACGCTTTTTAAAGATTTATGTTTAACGATAAAACAATTTTAATTTTTCACCAACACTATCTTACAAAACATTAAAAATTAAATTCACAATTATTCAATATAATATTCATTCGTTGTTCTGACCATTTTATGAGCTTCTAATTCATTTTCGATTGTTTACCTACTTATGTAAACAAACAACTCGCGACAGCAAAAAATCAAAAATTTAAAAGCCGTAAAAGAAACTTCAACTTCATTTTGTTCATTCAAGTATGTTTACCCAACAATTTTAAATATTTTATGAACTCAAACAAAACAGAATAAACTTCTGCCCAAAAAACATACATTTGATGATATATCAATAACGTGAGTAACGCTATTAAAAATTAACTCTTAAATTTGTCACTATTAAGGATAAGGAGATATTCAAGAAAAACAAAGCGTCATTCATGTATAATATTGTGACGAGGCCCGAGTAAAAGTCGCAGTTACAGTAAAAGATTTTAAGATGCTTTTAAGCATACCAAAACCAGAATATAGGTAATTGAGTTCAAAAATAAAATTGGCGAGTAGAGCAATTTTAAACCAATAAATTTGTGTCAAAGGCATAGGTGACATATCTGTCATAGACACATATTTATTGTTTTAGAATCAAAATTTGGACATTGTTTAATTGCTAATGTTATACATACCATCGTCGTCTTCTTCATTTAATGCAGAAACGTCCAATTCTTCGTCATCTAAAAGTTTATATTTATTAAATAACGAAAATTATTAAGAAAATAGATGTATTGAAAAAAACTTTATTACCATCGATTTCATCGCTATCATCATCGTCCTCATTGGATTCCTCTATTTCCTGTTTCTTCTTACCTCCCTTTTTGTCGATGGCTTTATTTTTGTTTAACTTTTCACGCAAATCTGGCCTAAAATGATTTATTAGTAATTGACATAATAATTTGTGTTAAAAATCAACGTACGTCTCAATCTCTGATTCCTCATCTTCTTCCTCAGAATCATATTCGCCATAATTAAAATCTTCTTCAGGAACTAAAAATCCTGTTAAATGGACAATTCCATTGCCTTTTGTCAGAAAGCAGAGCTCATCTCCCTCGGCAAAATTCAAATCTAAAGCACATTGGATGTTTTTGCCTTTCTGTAAAGTACACAATAAGTAGCTACTATTTTCATGTGAATACATAACTTGAACAGGATCATCATCGGATGAAGAATGATCTAGAGCAGCCTGTGAGAGATGAAAAGGCTTTTCTAATTTTTGTGTGTACTTTTTGTTGGCTTTTAAGATAAGTCCTACAAATAAATGTAAATAAAAAAATGAATGAGGTTAGAATAAACAAAATTTGTCACGAATAAAAGACCTCCTCGTTTTTGCTATTAACAACTATTGTATTAAGTATATTCATCAATTATAAATCAAGATTAGCTGGGAATTATAACACATTGTAGCCATGTGTTATTTTAGGAATGAAATGATTAATTTATTAAGTTCGGCATGTTTGGAAGGAAAACAGTTTATTTAATAAATACATACCCCAAAACATATTGATATTTCCTTGATTTGCTTTCAATTTATTATGATCTAATTCAATTAATTTGACTCTTTTTAAAAGTGAACTTCTTCTAATTAATGTTTTTAAATATTTATTTCTCAAGAAACTTTCAATGAGTAAACTGCTCGCTCAAAGATTTGAAAAAATAATGATGCAAAACTGATGGATTGATTCAAAACTAGCTAGAAGAGATTTCGTCAACAAAAGCAGTCAAGATTTGTGTCTGTCTGTCACTTATACATGCCACCAGAGCCACTATGGGCCAGAAATCGAAAACTTTTCCGAAAATTATTTTTTTGGTCTAAATGATAGCTCTTTCATTCCCATTTATGAAAATACTTACAAAAGTGGCCAATTCAGCCTAAGTTCCGAGTTATTGCTTTTCAAATTTTTGATTAAGAGCATTTTCTCGCCCCACAAAAATTGTCACTACTTTTCATTAGATTGATGAAACTCTTTCAATTTTTTTTTATTTAATAGCTTAAAATAAGAGCTTTATTTTAGAACAGTAAACATTTAAGTATGCATCTTTTAACTTTATGAATTTTAAGTTTTTTTCAAAAAATCACGTGTTCAGTATGACTACATTCGTCTAGGACTTCACTCTTAAAATAAATGATGCTGAATCTTTTTTTATATTGTAGATATAAACAAGATATACAACTTTTATTAAGATACTATAAAGTTTTAGTAGAGTTTTGAAGATGAAATTAAGTATTTTCTTCAAAAAAACTGCAATTTTTTGACATAAATTCCCATAACTTTTCAGCCCAAAGGAGTGGAATTTTTTTAAAATGCTTTGAAAGCTCTTTGGATATACTATCAGAATATACAATCAGCTTGAGTTCGGTTACTGAGACAATCTCGAGCAATTTGATTTTGAAGTGTGACCAGAAATACATTTCAAAACATAAAAATTGAAAATAAATTTTGTACGTTTTTCAAAATTTTAGTGTTTTGTTTTAGATCAATAGATCTCATCAAGGCGCATATTTTGAGTATAAATATGTCATAGTTTGAACAATTTTTATACTCAAATTTCAACAAAATCATTTTTATATATTTTTTCAACAAATTTTACTTATTTTTCAATTATTTTAAATCAAAACTTATTTTAAATCTTCTGATTTTGATATTTTTTGAAATTTCTATGTTTTTATGGTAAAATATCACTCCTGAGCAACAATTCATAAAATTTTATTTACTTTAAGGTAATTTTTTTAAAATTTTTTACAAATTACACTCATTTTTCTTATCTTTTTTTATCAAATTTTATTTTATAATAATTCTAAATATTGAAATTTAATGTAATATGCATAAAAATACTCTTAAATATTTAAAGATCATATTTTATCCAATTAACGTAGGAATAAAGCTGGAATGAGCAAAGCTTTGATATGTTCCTTTAATCTTAAGGTAATTCTCCATTCGATTCAGAACATAAAAGCATCCAATCAACTATTTTTAATAAATTTCGGTATACATACTTATTTCCATGCAATTGTAAAGCATAAACTATCACCACGAATTATTAAAATTAAGGACCTATAATGAAAATAGTTTTTAAAAAGGAAAACGCTATCAACCATTTTCCAATCTATCAAATTTATTGTGACAATTTTTATCCAATGTTGAATGGTTCCTTTTAGTTTTTTTACCATATTTCATTGTTTTTCCAATTTTTGTCTTTGCATATACTTTTTTTACTGATCTGTGGGCGCAACGTGACACATTTCAGATCCGTTCTGACAATTTATCATTATAAGGTAATCTTGTAGCTCTCGTTCCTATTTCTCCCGCTACAATTCAAGTTCCTCATCCGTTCCTTAACGTTGCCAAATATCTCATGGCTTGATCTCGTACATTAAGCAGTCGAAGTATCTAAACTTCTGAAAAAGAACAAATTTGGAAATAGCTGGATTGGAACCGACGACCTACGAGTTACCATACCAAATTTGAGCCAATCGCCTTACTTATTTGACCAGCGAGGCACTTAAATCCTTAAACATAGACAAAAATAGATTCAAGAACCATCATTTAGTTATGTTAAATTTCAAAACGATGCAAACTTTTCAAACTTTTGTATATATACTTTATATATTTCATACTGGTAAATTCCAGTCACCATTAGTGAGTCCAGTCAGATTATATATATTGAGCTTTCAACTTTCGGACCTGGAAGGCAATAAAATAAGACATCTTTGAAATAGTGACATGGGTCTGCAAAACGAGTTTCAAGTGATAGATTATGCTTTACAATTGCATGGAAATAAGTATGTATACCGAAATTTATTAAAAATAGTTGATTGGATGCTTTTATGTTCTGAATCGAATGGAGAATTACCTTAAGATTAAAGGAACATATCAAAGCTTTGCTCATTCCAGCTTTATTCCTACGTTAATTGGATAAAATATGATCTTTAAATATTTAAGAGTATTTTTATGCATATTACATTAAATTTCAATATTTAGAATTATTATAAAATAAAATTTGATAAAAAAAGATAAGAAAAATGAGTGTAATTTGTAAAAAATTTTAAAAAAATTACCTTAAAGTAAATAAAATTTTATGAATTGTTGCTCTAGGAGTGATATTTTACCATAAAAACATAGAAATTTCAAAAAATATCAAAATCAGAAGATTTAAAATAAGTTTTGATTTAAAATAATTGAAAAATAGGTACCCAGTAATAACGCCGACACGGAATAACTGCACCTATTAAAAAAAACACGGTACCGGAATAATATCGAAAATATTTTCTGCTCAGGTCGGTAATAACTTCACCTGTATAATGTAGGTGAAGTTATTCCGGCGTCGCGACGGAATAATTTCACCTACTTAATATAAGTGAAGTTATTACCGCTTCATACCGGAATAACTTCACCTACATAATATAGGTGAAGTTATTCCGTCGCGGCGGCGGAATAATGCCGAAAAATATTGTATGTCGACTTTATTCCGTCACTGTGCAGGAATAACTTCACCTATATTTATATAGATGTGGCAGTGAATTCGTAATACAATTTGAAATTTACAAATGGGCAATCTCATAAATTGACTTGTTCAAAAATTTCGTTTTTGAAATAATTTTTCTCAATTTTCAGCAATTTAAATGTTCCAGAGACTTAATATACTTATGTAAAACGATAAAATTTGGATGCTATTGCTTGCTTTCTGAACAAAAGCAAAGCAAAAGGGCAATAGGCAATTCTTTGGATGACTTTTTAAAAAATTTCAGCAAAAAATCGAAATTTCATTCAACAAACTTTTTGTTTCATCACATGCATACCAAATGATAGAAATAGGTGTGTTGCATAGGATAGACAGAATAATTCTGCAGAATTCTGCTCAACAGTTGCGCAACAATTCTGCAGAATTATTCTGATAAATTCTGCAGAATAATTCTGATGACAACATAATAATTCTGAAGATTAATTCTGAAGAATTTATTTTTATTTTGCAGAATTATTCTGTTGAATTTTTTTTTCAGAATTTCACAAAACAAATCAGAAACATTTTTTCCAAATTCTGCATAATTAAAAGTTCTGATGAATAACTTTATGAGAATATGGTTAAAGACTTTGTTTTTCCACAATTACAAATTAATATGGAAATTAAAATAGGAACACAACATTTTTCAGTGTTTCACTAAGTTTGAAACAGAATTGATAATGAATTGCTTTTGACTTTGATAATATTTTCCTTTCGCTCCTCTGGTTTAAAGCCTTGAACAGTTCGAAAAAATTATTCATTATTAAAACTTCAATTGAAGATTATATACAAAAGCGTATAAAATTTGATGAAATTTTTGAATATTCAATTTTCGAGATCGAATTCGGCACGATTATTTTTATAAGTAAATAATTAAAAGACGCAAAATATTAGCTTTTGTTATCCATTTTCTTCAACGTGTAAATTTAACTGTAAAAGCAACACATGGATTAAAAACTGAGTAATTATTGCTAGGTATCGTGGTTGAACAGCCACTAACTGAGCAATTCTTTAAAAATTCGAGGAACAAGTTAAGAATTATTTTTTTGGCTCCGTTATTCAGCATTAATGACAATTCGACAATTGTTTATCAATAGATTTTTATTGGTCATTAAATTTTTTAGCTTTATTTGGAACTTATTATATCTCCGTTATTATATAGTTTATCAAAATATGACGCTGCAAACTGATACTACAAAAATCCGTTACAAAAACTGATGCAAAAGTGCCTTCATAGCTCAGTTGGCAAGGTACAGGTCACAAAATTTCGAGTCGAATTTGCACTCTCGGGTTCAAATCCCATCACCAGCCTAGTGATTTTCAGAAGTTTAGATACTTCGGCTTCTTAGGTGCAGCAGTTTAAGACGTAAAACCAAGAATTAGGCAATGTGAGATGTGGAAATGAGTCAAGAATTATGTAGACTGAATGAGAAAGATACGAGAGCTGTAAAGATCTATAACAGTTTTTAATTGGGTACTAGACACACAACTGCTTAGTGAAGATTATGCGCTAAACACTGAGCTAGCGTACATAATATAGATTTAAGAATTATTAATGTTAAAAATAAAAGTGTAGCGCTTAAAGGTTGCACACTGTTGCTCAATTTAACATGAATAAATTGAAATTGAATTGAATTGTGTTCAGAATTCTGAAAAATGTTGTACTCCTATTTTATTTCCATATTAATTTGTAATTGTGTCTTTAATCACATTCTCATAAAGTTGTTCATCAGAAATTTTAATTATGGAGAATTTGGAAAAAAAATGTTTCTGATTTGTTTTGTGAAATTCTGAAAAAAAATTCAGCAGAAAAATTCTGCAGAATAAAAATAAGTTCATCAGAATTATTCTGCAGAATTTATCAGAATAATTCTTCGGAATTGTTGCGCAACTGTTGAGCAGAATTCTGCAGAATTATTCTGTCCATCCTATGCAAGATTCGATAGAAAATAACTCATTTTATCATCCTAATTGATAATTAGAGTGAGTTTAATGTAAGTTTGAGAAGAAAAATCAATTCTTCTGATGAAAATTTATGTCTCCGAGAAATTTTGAGCCTTTATTTTCCTAATCCGTGAAAAAATGATTTTATAAAATGCAAATTTTACTTTAATTAACAACGATTTCTTATATTGAAACGTTGTTTGTAAAAATATAGAAGTAAATGAATATGTCTTTCTGATTTTCATAAAGTTTTAGCTTAGTTAAATTGCATTTTTGAAACAATTCATTTTTAAAGTTTCCGTTGAATGATAATCACCAAAATTTACATCACCAAAATTTTAACTACTTTAATGCTCCCTTTTTTCGCAAAAAAACAAACATGGTATGCAGCACATTAAGATTATTTCGTGTCATTCTTGATGTTTATTGTTTGAATACAATTGACAACGAATTTGACTTAGTTCGTTCAGTTAATTTTTTTTGTTGATCTTTTATATTGTGTGAATTTTAATTAAAAATGGATTTTTCTATAGTTCTGGAAAGCGTGATAATTCAGAAATTTATCATATTAATATATATAAATATAGGTGAAGTTATTCCTGCACAGTGACGGAATAAAGTCGACATACAATATTTTTCGGCATTATTCCGCCGCCGCGACGGAATAACTTCACCTATATTATGTAGGTGAAGTTATTCCGGTATGAAGCGGTAATAACTTCACTTATATTAAGTAGGTGAAATTATTCCGTCGCGACGCCGGAATAACTTCACCTACATTATACAGGTGAAGTTATTACCGACCTGAGCAGAAAATATTTTCGATATTATTCCGGTTTGATGTTGTGGAGTTATTCCGTGTCGGCGTTATTACTGGGTATCGAAAAATAAGTAAAATTTGTTGAAAAAATATATAAAAATGATTTTGTTGAAATTTGAGTATAAAAATTGTTCAAACTATGACATATTTATACTCAAAATATGCGCCTTGATGAGATCTATTGATCTAAAACAAAACACTAAAATTTTGAAAAACGTACAAAATTTATTTTCAATTTTTATGTTTTGAAATGTATTTCTGGTCACACTTCAAAGTCAAATTGCTCGAGATTGTCTCAGTAACCGAACTCAAGCTGATTGTATATTCTGATAGTATATCCAAAGAGCTTTCAAAGCATTTTAAAAAAATTCCACTCCTTTGGGCTGAAAAGTTATGGGAATTTATGTCAAAAAATTGCAGTTTTTTTGAAGAAAATACTTAATTTCATCTTCAAAACTCTACTAAAACTTTATAGTATCTTAATAAAAGTTGTATATCTTGTTTATATCTACAATATAAAAAAAGATTCAGCATCATTTATTTTAAGAGTGAAGTCCTAGACGAATGTAGTCATACTGAACACGTGATTTTTTGAAAAAAACTTAAAATTCATAAAGTTAAAAGATGCATACTTAAATGTTTACTGTTCTAAAATAAAGCTCTTATTTTAAGCTATTAAATAAAAAAAAATTGAAAGAGTTTCATCAATCTAATGAAAACTAGTGACAATTTTTGTGGGGCGAGAAAATGCTCTTAATCAAAAATTTGAAAAGCAATAACTCGGAACTTAGGCTGAATTGGCCACTTTTGTAAGTATTTTCATAAATGGGAATGAAAGAGCTATCATTTAGACCAAAAAAATAATTTTCGGAAAAGTTTTCGATTTCTGGCCCATAGTGCAGAGTTGCAATCTGTCGCTTGTCAAATTGTTGAGTGTCTGTTCCTGATCTGTCACCACAATGATTCAGAATCGAGAATAATGTTCAAAAATTTGAAAATATCATATCAATTAAATTTTATCTGTTTAATACCAGATTAAAGATCTTAACTCTAGGCATGCCCTATAAAAATATCTCGTTCCTCTTTGCTATCTAACTCCAGAAATCGATCTGTTATTCCACTGTGAACATTCCGTTTAATGCCGTATCTTGAGATATTTGCGATTATAGTTTACATTAATTTTAAAACAAAATTAAATTGTGCACATTATTGTAATTATTACATTGTACTTGGCTCTTACTGTTTAGAAATAGATTAATTAATCTATATTTCTGGTAGTAGCTTAGTAAAGAATTTCAAAAATTTTGAAGTTCAAAATATCTTTACTAAGCTAGTAGCTTACTTACAAGGAGTAGCTTATAACGTAAAAACAGGGTAGGTACTATATAAGAGCTTTATTTTCATTCCATAGTATGCTGCATAAAACATTGACATTACTGTTAAAGCCGTCCAGTGATTTCTGACTCATCGAAGAATGTTTTAAATTTGTTTCACTCTACCTAATCATATTTGTATCAACCAATTTTAAAGTAATAATACTTAATAGTACCTACATATTTCAAAATTATTAATATTCGGAAAAAAATAAAATTGTGAGGTAAGAGCTTTAAAATTAAGTTTCTTTTATAAGTCAATGTCTAGAATTTTCCAGTAAGATCTATAACAATTATGCACAAGAATAATATTTTGAAATGAATCGTGAAATGTCGGCTGATGAATCTGTTCAGGCAGAAGCAAGCAATAATTCGATACCAAAAAATAAAACTGGATCCACGCTGAATGAGCCACAACGAACAAAAAGTTTAGAAGAAGCTACACAGGAAAATTATATGTGTAGTATTTGCTTATCATGGCTCGAAGATCCAGTCCTTACAAAATGTGGACATCGTTTTTGTTCAAGTTGCCTAAACGAATGGAGAACGTAAGCAGTAATTAATATATTTTTAGTTCCAAAAACAGCATTTTTGATAATAGCTTTAGTATTTAATTAAAGTTGTCAAAAAAGCTTTTCATATTTACACCAAATTATCTGCATATTTTAGAAAGAAGAACTCAAAATGCCCAATGGATAGCCATGATTTAAATATAGAGGATATATTTCCAGATAATTATACCAAGAGACAAATAACAGAGATCCGAAAGAGCTTTCCAGAAGAGCTAAATCGTCCGAATGTGATGATTGAATGTAGATTTTCAACTTTATCGTGCGATTTTAAAACAACATCTGCGGGCGAATTGGATCTCCATATGAAGGAGGGAACAAAAGAGCATATTGATTTATTACTAAGTAGCTACTTAAGAACACAATATCAAGCATGGGATCCACTGGATAAAAGCCAAAGTAATGATAAAGAAGAATTTTTTCGACAACAATCTTCAACAAGGGATTTAATAAATGCTATGTTTGAACGCATCGTAATCTTAGAGCAGCATACGCGAGAGCAAGCTATTAAAATAGAAGCGCTTCAGTCTACAGAGAAAAGACATGGAACACTTGTTTGGAAAATTGAAGACTTTAAACGGAAAGTAGAGTCAATGCAAAATAATTCTAATATGATGTTTTATAGCACAGACGCGTATACTTCTCCAGATGGATATAAATTTTGTGCAAGAATTAATTTGTCACATAAAATGAGAGATTATTTAAGTCTTCACGTGCATCTACGGAAAGGCGAAAATGATTATCATTTATCTTGGCCATTCATTGGACGAATAAAGATTTCAATGATCCATACTAAGAACGCAGCATTAAGTCAACATGATTGTATTATGAGTAAACCAGAAATTTTAGCATTTCATCGACCTAATGAAGAAATCAGCTGTAGAGGGTTCGGTTTTACTGAATATGCTATAATTAGTGATATTATCAAAAGAGGATTTATTGAAAATGACTGTCTAGTGATTAAAATACAAATGAATATTGTTTAACAAAAATCTCTCAAATACCTAAATTGAGGTAATTCGGGTAATTCCATGATTTAGATTCGGAAAAATTGTTCAAAAATTCAAAAATAACACATATTAATTAAATTTCATCTTTTGAATACCAGATTAAAGATCTTAACTTAAGGCATATTCAGTGAAAATATCTCGTTTCAATTTGATGTCTAACTCCTTTATTCTCACCAAAATTTGTTTAAAATTTGAATATGAAAAAAAAAACTTTGAATTTCTCTACTTGAAGTTGGTATTTCCATATCTTGCTAGCTGTTGTTAGCTAAGTTAAGCTTAGATTTGCATATTAAAACTACCAAATCAAAAGAAAACTGCTTATTAAGTCTTAAAAATGCAATTGAAATCTGAGTATTTTTACAAAACTTAAACTATTCATAAGTTAAAAAGTCTTCCAAAGACCTCTCTGAAACCTATAAATCAATTAATTAAGCTTAGATCTATCTCCCATATTACCAAGGCGTGGAAACTATCCCAAATATCAAAATAATCCCTGAGCCTGTATGCATTAGAACTGATATAGCCCATCATTTCCTGAAATTACACGTCCAATACACTAAGGATACGTTGGGATATCTTTATTATCGCGCATACATGCTCAGGAATTTTTTGAATATTTTTGGGATATGTGGGATAAATATGATATTTGGGATAGTTTCCACGCCTTGCATATTACTGGGGACATGCCGTTTGATGCCGTTTTCGAGATATTTGCCATCAAAGTTTACATAAATTTTCATACAAAATTTGATCATGCACAATATTTTTTGATAAACTTTTACAAACTTTTGGTAAAAAATCGAGTTTATCCTTTATATTAAAGACTCATAAAAGAATCAAATCAAGAGAAATTAACAAAAACTTTCAATTTTCTAATGTGTCGGAAAAATATTGTGCACAAGGAATTTTTAAACACTTTTTTCGAATGAATGTGGATTGAGGTAATTCCATGAGCAAGCACAACTGAAATTTTTTTTACAAACATTTTACAAAATTAAGCTAAATTACACATTAAAATCAAGGTTCACATATTTTTTAAATTTTGTTTATCTGTTTAGATCCACAACATTCAAAAATCTTTAATTAAGTTTATAAAGTCAAAAATATTTATGTTATGTAATAATTGGTTGAAAATTAACTTTTTGAAGCAGTTTTCTGCAATTTTCTCGTTAATTACAGCATGATATCATATTTCAATTTAAAACCGCTTTAATTAATCAAACGCTAGCAAATCCATGTATTTAAAGAGAATTTTCAAGAAATAATTTCTATTAATTATAATTGTGTATCTCAATCTTCATTTTAAGCAATGTTTATGTCTCTATATTTTTTTGTTTATTTGAAACTTGTTTTCTAAAAAGTTCTTGGCTGGTCGAACAATGGATCATACTATAATTAATAATTTTTAAATTTCATACCCACAAACACGTGTAGAGTTCAGAATTTTGAAGTTTTTCTACCGTTATTAAATTTGAGATTTATAAAACTGTTGAAATATTTGATAAATTTGATTTGAACCAGTGTATAGATCGGGTAGAAACCCAATGAATTTCCTCTTAATTAAGGAATTTTGCAGACACCCCCAAAAAATACATTTGATGAAATCTCTTTTACAAAATAACATTAGCACTGGTGAATTTCTTGGTATTTAAATTAACTGACAAACGTCATAGGTTCTGTTCTTATGTTTAATGTTTTAAACAAACTTGGTAATAAAGCATTGAATATGTATGTGCAGTAAATAAGTGTGAAAAATTACTATTATCATTTGATTAGGCTATACGGGGTAAATGCAGCCGATAAATAAAATAAACATGTATTTATTTTTTTTTAAAAATATAGGTACTTTATTTTATTGACAGATGATGAAGTATGATTTTTTAATGGATAACTTCCTTGATTGGCTCTAATTTACTAAATTTGCTGTAATCAATTTCTTGCTCAATGGCTTCATCTATCAATCCAATCAATGCGACATTATCTCCCCTGATTATCTTTAATCCTAGATTAATTTGTTCCATTCCTGACGAGGAAAATATTCTCTCGTGCGTGTCAACAAGAATTAAATTGATTAACTGATCAAATCCTAAAATAGATAAATATTTTTTTTAAAAAATAAAAACAAATAAAGATAAAAAAAAAATCGTTAATTTTACCTTTTAATGTTCCACTAAAACATCGACCATCACAACTGACTATTAAAACGGGCTTTCCTACAAAGGATTCAAGCGTTCCTGACATGATATTTACTTAAATTAATGATAATTTCGATTTCAACAATAAAATTTTATTGTTTGGTTTATAAACTGCTTTACGTTTGTGGATAGTGTGTTATTGCCAAATTGCTTAAATATATCCGTGTTTTTCTCTTAACAGTTTGCTTACTTGAAACGACTGTCTAATATCTAGCATTTAACTTGTAAAACATTGTTCTTAATTATATAGGGCCTCGACGATTTTTTAAGGATTTTTGCTTAACGGAAAAAAACAATTTGAATTTTTCACTAACACTATCATACAAAACATCAAACATTAAATTCTCAAAATTCATGATTATTCAATCGTTAATCCCAAATATTATGATTTGAATACGAAAAGTAGATGATACATTAGCCATTATGACTATTTTAAGAGCTTTAACATCATTATTGAGTGAAATTTTCATGATTTTTTAAATTTCATTTCAATTTTTGTTTGTAAACAAACATCTCACGAAAGAAAAAATTCAAAAAATTTAAAACCGTTAAAATTTTTTTACCTTAATTTTGTTCATTTAAGTATGTTTCGGGGACAATTTATTACTTTTTTTGAAACCAAATAAAAGAGAATAAAATTTCTGATCTAAAAAAATACATTTGAAGGATGCTGGGTTATAAGTCCAGAGATTATAAGTCCAGGTACAAAAATCGTGCACAGAAAATTATAAGTCCAGAAAATCAAAGTCAATAAAATTTTATAAGTCCAGATACAAATTGCACCTGGACTTAAAAACCTCACGTGCAGTTTATAATTCCAGGTACAGATACAGCTGGAATTTTAAACTGCACGAGAGGTTTTTAAGTCCAGGTACATTTTATATCTGGACTTATAAACTTCACTTGTGGTTTATAATTCCAGAAAATTTACAAATTTTACTTATAATCTCCCAGTGCGATTATAAATCCAGATACATTTTTCTGGACTTATAATCCTTGAAAATTATTTGATATTATTTTAAATTTTTTCATTTAAAGTAATTCTTCACATGAATTTTTGAAAACTTCACAAAAAGAATTCACATTTCTCTGATTTTTTTTTTCCTCTAAAGTACCATATAGGGTAAATCATTTTGAAATTTGCGTGTTTTCAGACTTGAATTTTCAAACGCTTGTAACTAATCGACGAATTGACATTGCTCTTGAAATGTTGAGAGTCGTCGATATTTTTATTTTTGATCATGTAAAGGTTTTTGTGCTGCATCAATTCAGAGAAAATTGACATTTAAGTTTTCATTTTGAAATATGCGCAGAAATTTTAAAAATTTGAGCAAAAATATTTTGAAATTTGCGCACTTTTTTGATAGTAATCTTTACCCTATACAATTTAGCATCAAATTACAGCTGTACTAAAATTACAGCAGTAGATTACAGATGAACTTAGGTCGTTACGTAAAAATCAATTTACAGCTGTAGTTTAATGTGTATAAGTAAAAACAGTTGTAAATACAGATGGTGTTTATAGCTTAGACAAGTGCTTAGCTGTCCTTACAGTTAATGTAATTTTTCATAAATTCTGCTGGTTTTGACTATTATTTTACCTTTTACAAAAAGATTGAATAGAAAACAAGGTACAGTAGCGTGTAAAAATTTATAAAAATCACATTTTTCGCTCTGGATGTTAACATTTAAAATATAAATAATACAAGAATAAAAAGGGGAAACAAAATCCTCTGCTTTGTTTTCTCACAGAATGCAAAAAACTGATTTTTCAATCTGAACAAAACCAATAGATTCACACGTGAATACGGGATGAATATAAAAATTTGAAATTATATCAAATAATTTTCAAAGATTATAAGTCCAGAAAAATGTATCTGGATTTATAATCGCACTGGGAGATTATAAGTAAAATTTGTAAATTTTCTGGAATTATAAACCACACGTGAGGTTTATAAGTCCAGATATAAAATGTACCTGGACTTAAAAACCTCTCGTGCAGTTTAAAATTCCAGCTGTATCTGTACCTGGACTTATAAACTGCACGTGAGGTTTTTAAGTCCAGGTGCAATTTGTATCTGGACTTATAAACCTTTATTGACTTTGATTTTCTGGACTTATAATCTCTGGACTTATAGTTTCTGGACTTATAACCCAGCATCCATTTGAAGATATATCAATGAAAACTGACAAAGTTATGGCAAAATTCCCAAAAATTATTCGTGAGTGACGCTTAGTTAAAGTGATTTTCCGACATAACTGCTTAACTTTAGGAAGTAAGTTGTATGTCAAAAGATAGAAATTTTTGTTTCCTACAAGATAAAATAACTTTGAAATTTCAAATTTGTCACTATTGTGGTTTCGGAGATATTTAAGATTTTAAAGCGTCACTCACGAATAATTTTTTTTCGTCGGGGCCCTATATTATTGAGTATGAAATATTTTTAAGATACTTATTATAGAGGTATCGGCTAGAAAAAGAGGAAAAGCGCGTTATTTTTTTTTTCAAAAAAAAGGGCTTGGAACTTTGTTTTTTTTGTGCATCTTTGAGGCAGAACTTCATCATTACACAGCATTTTTGAAATCAGTCTAGTATAAAGATAATTAAATAAAGTTACACTTTAAATTGATTAAATATAATGGCAGGAGCAACTAAATTTGAAAGAACACAATCAATAAAGTCCACGGTTCGTGAAGAAGATCGTGAGAAAGTGCTGAATAAAATTTTGAAAGACCTCGAAATGAACGAGAATGACGAGGAACAAATTCGCATAAAAGAAGCTGGAATATTAGAACTGGGACACTTTTATAAGTCACAAGGAAAGGCTAAGGAACTTGCTGATCTGATTTCTAAATCACGTCCCTTCCTAAATCTCATTTCAAAGGCAAAAGCAGCAAAATTAGTACGGAGTTTAGTCGATTTATTCTTGGATCTAGAAGCAGGAACTGGAATTGAAGTTCAATTATGTAAAGAGTGCATAGAATGGTCGAAGCAAGAGAAGAGGACATTTTTGCGCCAATCGTTAGAAGCGAGATTAATTGCTCTTTATTTCGATACAAAAATGTACTCAGATGCTCTAACTTTAGGCTCTCAACTCTTGCGAGAATTGAAGAAAATGGATGATAAAAATCTATTGGTAGAAGTTCAATTATTGGAAAGTAAAACTTACCATGCATTAAGCAATTTGTCCAAGGTACTTTAAATTAGCTATTTTATAATTAATCTTATTTTTTCTCATTTAATTATTTTTAATAATCTTTGTTTTGATTCGATCAAAAGGCTCGTGCCGCACTCACATCAGCTCGTACCACAGCAAATTCAATTTATTGTCCACCCAAAGTTCAAGCTTCACTTGATTTGCAATCTGGAATACTACATGCTGCAGATGAACGAGATTTCAAAACAGCTTTTTCATATTTTTATGAAGCATTCGAAGGATACGATAGCGTAGAAAATAATAAGGCACTTACTGCACTCAAATATATGTTATTATGCAAAATTATGCTGGGACAGAGTGATGATGTTAATCAAATTGTTAGTGGAAAATTGGTAAGTTGAATGTCCCCGTATATATTACAGCTAATAAAATATTTGTTGACTTTTAGGCAATTTCTTATTCTGGAAAAGACATAGATGCAATGAAAGCAGTCGCACTTGCTTCACACAAGCGTTCATTGGCTGATTTTCAACAGGCTCTAAAGGATTACAAATCACAATTAGAAGATGACATCATTGTTCGTGCTCATTTAGATTCTTTGTACGATACAATGTTGGAACAAAACCTATGTCGTATTATTGAGCCATATTCAAGAGTTCAAGTTTCGTTTATTGCAAATTCCATCAAATTATCAATTCATCAAGTCGAGAAGAAGCTCTCTCAAATGATTTTGGATAAAAAATTCAGTGGTATTTTAGATCAAGGTGATGGAGTTTTGATAGTATTTGAAGAAACACCGATTGATAAGACTTATGAAACGGCTCTTGAAACAATTCATCATATGGGAAAAGTGGTAGATACACTTTATCAAAAGGCAAAGAAATTATCGTAAATTCCTTATAACAATCTCTTTCTTTTGGTTCCATCTTTAAATTTCTCTCACTAATGATGTAATGTTTCGAAATTTCCTTTTATAGTTATTAGATATCAAAACTCGTGAATTTTTTTTTTTTCTATCGTATAATTTCTTTTGCATCGATCATATGTTTTGATAAATTTTTAATTACTGTGCTACACGTGCGAGAGATAAGAGGAGAGATTTATTTGATAGCTGTTGAAAGTAATTCATATTAATATTTTGTATAATACAAGAATAAAGGAAAAAAATACCCATTAATAAAGAAGAAAACAAAATACATAATGAATATAGTTAACTTTTTATTACAAGCTTAAAACTTTAAAGGATTTAAAAAGATATCGAACAAAAGCAGGATCAAACTCAGTCATACATTTGGAGATTAAAAGGCTAATATCATCCTTATAGTTCATTAGAAAATATAAAAATCCAATCATTTGAGAAAAATCAATGCTTTTCAAAAATTTCACTTTTGACTTATCCTCAATGAGATCTTCACTGATAAAATAATGTCCATCATATGCCAATGATTTAAAATACATTATTACAATGTTGAATGTGGTTTGTCTTACAATTCTAATATTCAATAAATCGCCGAAATAGCTGCAACTGCATTCCGAATTTGTTATTTTGAATATTTTTATCCAAAATTTATGCGAGCTATTTAAGTTTTTAAATAAAATTTTAACTAAACACGATGATTTATCAACATTATTGCTTCGCAATTCATCTTTTATAAGTTGAAAAATCCACAAGGTTTCATCAATCTTATCATGACTGTCAAATAATTCATCTAGCTTCTTCTGCTTCTCGATAGACGTTGCTATGTCATCCAAATAATTTCCAATAGCATCCGATAACAATTTATTATGCCTCTTCTGTGCTGCATTTATTATACCTTCCATTATAAGTAAATCCATAGCAGCTGTATTGTAGTACAGTTCTCATCAGATGTCTGTCGACTGTTAATTAACAAAACAAAGGAAACATTAAAGCAAGTATAATAGATATAGTTGTCAAACGGGTGAATTACTACTCGTAACTAAGCTCCTAGCTTAGTAAAGATATTCTGAACTTCAAAACTTTTTAAATTCTTTACTAAGCTACTACCAAGAATAGAGTTTAATTAATATGTAAGAAGAAAAATCTGTAAGAAGCAATTACAATGTAAAATGACATTGCATGTAAAATAAAATCAAACTCAACACACCTTCTTAATTAAGTTAAAAAATTGAAAAACTACTAGTCACCAAAAACATTCACTTTTTATTATTATACGTTATTTTTTTTATTGCTGTTTGTATGTTTCATTCGTCAAATTTTGTTCCATACATTACTGCTAAAGCCGTTCAATATTTTATACTTAAAATAAATATTGTACCTGGGGTAAAACATTTTGAAATTTGCGTGTTTTACACTTGGAATTTTCATTCGCGTTATTGACGCTGAGACCTACTAATGGTCTTCATTTATATTCATTTATAATTGTGCAAAGGAAACTCTAGTGAAACTAAAATTTCCCATTGATTCCACAGAAGAGACATTTTCGGATATGATTTTATATATTTTTCATTTTCATAGAAGTGCGCAATTTTTAAGACGCTTTACCCTATAGCGTTTGTTAAAAAGCTTTCAAAATAGAAATTTTTTTTTTATTTCATTTTCATTTAACAAAAAGGTTCAAAAAAGTTTTTGAAAATATAACAACTATAAGAAAAATGGATTTGATCAAACTACTTTTTTTACAATTAACATTAGTAATTGTCCTTTTGGGCACATTAATGAATTCAATTGAAAAATATTTACCTCCGGACATTAGAAGAATGTTTCGTTATGGGAAACATTCATATCAGAGTGAAAATAGTAGTAAAATAATAGATAAGATCGAAATTCCAAAGTCGTTTTTTAAGCATTTTTATATATTTGCCATAATATGGAGCTGGATGGGACTTACCTTAGCAATACGTGTTTATTTTCTAAATTATCATCCACATATATATCTCTTCAAATACTTGGATTTTTCATGTGGAATCAATCGCAAAATTGAAAGTATGTCAAACAAGTGTATCGGGTAGAAACCCAATGCGGATAAATTCACACCGTACCATCACCATGTTTGAATGCTTAAAGCTTGACGGATAAAGCAAATATACTAAATTTTTTTTAATGTTTAATGCATTCGTCATTGAATTTTATAGCTCTTCTTTAAAACAGCATGGATCGAATGCAAAAAAACAATTCATTAGTGAGATTGAGACCTTGCTTCAACCAATTTGAGATCTGTTTTTTGCAGAAATGTGAAATTTCGCTCATCAAATTTTCATAGTTGGACATGTTAAGCTTTCTTGTTCCATACCTTAAAAAAATGCGAATAACAGATTTTCAAATGTGAACAAAAACAATACATTCACATGTGAATACGGTGTGAATATTATTAATTTAATAATAATTAATATTATTTTAATAATTGTTTATTTTATCCAACCATATAGTTACACCATTAGAAACGCTGACTGCATTGATGTTAATAACTGTACAATGCACTAGACGATTCATAGAAACAAACTTTCTGCAAATATTTTCCAAAAAAAGTAAAATAAATTTGTCACACTACTTTTGTGGATTTTTGCATTATTATGGATTAGTAGTTCTGATAATTGCAAAAAGTGATGGATTCAACACCGAAAGAAATAATTTCGTATATGGACTGGAAGATGTTTTACTGGCAGTTTTCACTTCACTGGTCTTTCTTTATTTAAATTATAAGCAATATGAAACAAATATGATATTAATTAATCTCCGAAAATCAAAATTTGGAAAGATCATCAGTGAGAGTCATGTAATCCCCCAAGGAGGTTTATTTAAGTATATTTCTTCTCCCCACATGTTTACCGAAGTTGGAATGTATTTCGTACTTCTAGGTGTACTTTATAAGAACAGCACCTATATATTTTGTCTTGTTTGGGTTATTTCAAACCAAATTTGTAATGCATTTTTAACACATAAATGGTATGTAGGAACTTTTAAAGACTATCCAAAAGAAAGGAAAGCAATTATACCATTTCTTCTGTAATTGTTAATTTAATAAAACAATTTTTATATTCTCATAAGTTGTGTATTTTAATAAAATAAGAAAAAAAATATTATTTTACTCTACAAACTTCATTTTGGTTAAAACTAGATAGAGCATATAAAAACCTGCAAAAGTAATTATATGGAGAAGTTGAATTATTTGAATGTATATGATAAGGTCATTCAAACAAAATTTATTTGAAAAGAAAAGAATATGGATAGCCATGTGCCTTCGAACGGAATGCAGATAGCAATAGAGAGAAAAATACAGCAACAAATATTAAACCAATAATAGCCATGAGTTTTCCTTTTCGTGCATCATTTTGACTTCCAGATTCAGTCAATAAAATCATTCCGATTACAACAAGACCATTGAGGACCATGACGATATACGTTTCAAAAACAAGCTGACCTTGTGAGCTACCGTGGAAATAGCCTATGCCACCATTTTGGCTTTTATGAACAAAAGGAGGTGATCTAATGTGATTCCACATTTGACCGGAAATCATGGCAAAGACAAATAAAAGCGACATTAATCCCCAGAGTTGCTTATTTTGTAAAAACTCTAAATTATTTCTCTTTAAATAAAGAAATCCTCCGACAAATGATATGAGCATAATGACTGCAACAGTTCCACTGTAATTTGGTGGTCGAAAGATGCGAATCTGAATATCAGTTCGTTCTTGAACCCATTTTGCTATTGCCTCTGCTGATATACCAACTCTTTGTATGTCCATTGTGTCACTTCCTTTAGCTTTTCCCTTTGCTGGAAAGTGCATGAAAACTGGAGCGGTATTTAAGCGGAGCATCTGAAAAACATCGGAGCCTTCATCAAAATCGATGATAGCAAAGAAAAGCTTGTTGGAATAAACTGACGAATAGCGATATGAATTAGCCAAAATAGTGTACTCATCGGAAGCAGGTCGGCATATTACGCATTGTCTATATTAAATATTATTGATTAATATAAATCATTATCACATTAACATACATACTATATAATATTACCTTGCCGGCTGAAGAGCAGTAAACATAACAATGACTGAATAATTCCTGGGTGAACTTTTAACATATTCCTTGAATTTGTGTCCATTTAAACGTAAAATCGACTTTTTAGCATTCCAATCAAGAAGCTGTTGCACTTTTTCCCCCAATGAAATGCCGCCAGCATTGGACTTGAAATTATTAAAATATTTATATTTTTTAAACATTATAGGCCACATCATCTTTGCAATTTTCTCATGCTTACCGATTGTTTTCTTTGACAATCTACATTTGACATTATTAAGATGAACAATATTATTGAAATTATCACACTGCTAATTAATTTCATTATAATAATTCAATTTCTTTTATTTTTTAAGTATCTTAAATTTTTTAATTTTGATAAACCGAGAGAGAATGAAGCGATAAGTTCTGAGACCCGCTAATTGACATTTCTGGTAACAAGTCGTTTTATACGTAACGTAAAAAGTGCAGCGTAGTGATTCTATAGAACACTGCAATCAAACCTAGACTTACAATTCATAGTGGAATGGATATGAACCACTCCATGTATTGATATACATCTCTAAAACTTGGCACACCGAGAAAGTGTTACATGTATATGTACAAACTGATTTGATAGTCGGACATTAAAACATAGAGTCAAAAATTTTGTGCTAACCGTGCAGAGGGATGCTAAAATTCCAAGTCTCTTATTAATTTTATATTGAATTGAAGTGAAAACTTATAGGACAATTCAAATCAAATATTAGCATTATAATACAATGTCGAAACATAAAGATAAAGATAAGGATCGTAGCAGAGATGATCGACGTTCACGGGAACGAGATAGAGATAGAGATCATCGCAAAAGGTAAAAAAAATCAATTTTTCTCATTTTAATTCGCCATATTTTTCTGTTTGTTTTTTTTTTTTTTTTTTTGAAATAAAAGATCCAGAGAACGCAGCAAAGAAAGAAGTCATCAGAAAAAGTCTAAGGATCGCTCCAAACGAAGTCGATCGCGAAAATCAAGCCGTAGAGATCGTTCAAGGTAATAAAAAGAAAACTTATTTAAAAGTAGAACTAATTGATTTAACTTCATTTTAACAAAAAGGGATCGAAGCAGGGATCGTTCGAATCGCAAGGAAAGGAGCAGATCAAGAGATTCACGACGAAGTCGTTCTTATGAAAGGTTACATCGTAAAATTAACAGTCCTCCAAAATCTTCTGTTATGAGTTCAATGTCTGCAGTATCAAGAAATTTAGAAATTACTCCTTCACAACAAGCTCAAATAACACAGTTTTTGTCAGCATCTCTGTCAAATTTAACTCCTCAGCAATCGGCAGTTCATTCACTGGCACATTTCTCGGCAATTCAACCTGACACTTCACTTCGTACCGATTTTAGTAATCTTTTCCAGAGTACATCAACCAACTTGCAAGTCGCCTCTGTCCCAAACAGTGCGGCACTGAAAATTGCATCTGAAAAAGCTAAAAACTTACTTAAAGCTAAAAACTTGACTGATACACTAAAATTAGCAAACCACGGAAATAGCATAGCATCAAACGGAAATGATTCAAGTCATGATGGTAACGTTTAGTCCAAGATTACAGATGAGCTAATACATAAATGTTTGATTTTTCATTCCACTCGAGTATTTTCTTGTATTGGTCATCTTATCAATTTTTTTTTTAAAAACTACAAAATTAATTTAATGATAATTTTTTAAGGTGAGGAATTCAGATCTGGAAGTTGTGATAACAGTGTTATTTGTGGAGATGCAAGTAATAGTGGTGGTGATAAAAAACGAAAGAAAAAATCTCGTTGGGCCACGTCAACCGATGGAGCTGAAGGAAAAACATTTATTAATGGAATGCCAACTGTTCTCCCATCAAACTTGAATCCAGATCAACAAGAAGCATATTTAGGTAAATATAAATATACTTATTTTTTTAACTATTTCATTTCATGTTTTTCAATTGATAAATTATTTAAAAGCATCGTTAATAACTTTATTTTATTAATTTTAAGAAATTAATAATAAGAGAACCTTTTTGAACATATAGCAATAGATTTAGATACTTAAAAATGTCCCCTCTTGGCTGTTGAAATTAATACGATCTTCAAATTGAATATGTCATATAACGAAAAAGATAGCTGGAATTTGGTGTTTTTAATTATTAATTCTAATTTTTTAATCAAAACTCAATCTTTTTCCAATTATTCTTTAGGAAGACAAAAATCTTAAATGAAAAAAAAAAATAATAATAATAATAATTGTTATTACTATAAAATAATAATGAACCAAATCAAACATTAACATTACAAATATTTTGAAAAAGTTATTTCCAGAAGAAAGGTCATTTTCTAAAGCTATGACGTTTTATTAAAATAGTCTGGCATGTTTATGTTATATTTCGCTATACAAATTGCGTTATTTTATAAATCTCCATCAAATTTATCTCAAATAGTTGCTTCTGTATTTCAATTGATTTACTCACAAAATAAAAAGTATAAAATCTTTAAGATATGCCTCAAAGTTTATATACTTTTGTATGATTTGTGAAAGAAAGAAATGTATAAGTGTATTAAACGATGTTAAATTCCGTAAGTATTTGACAGATAAAATCAGCCTGGAAAATAATGTACATAAATACAGTTGTGAAATCTATGCATTGTTAATCACTTTCAAATTATATATATCTACTTAACAAATTCTTATATTTTTAGCAAATATTATTTAAAACATTGTAATCAACTTTTCTAATAATGGGGCTTTTTGCCTCAATTTTTTCTCTAATCCTTTTTCTTTTTCAGTTCAACTTCAAATTGAAGAAATCAGCAGAAAATTGAGAACAGGAGATTTAGGAATTTCGCTCAACCCTGAAGAAAGGTTTGCTATTCCGTTTAATTTAATTCAAGATTTTCAAAGTCGATGTCGTTTTGGATGATAACAGAAAATCTTTTAATAATATTTTATTTTTTGATATCGTAAATTTTGTGCAATCAATTTCTCTTTAACTCTTTCTTGTATTTTAGGTACTGAAGGTTTCAAAGATTTCCAGCTCTCTTTTTCGTTATTGTTTTTGTTGTCTGTTTGTCATATTTCCATATATCCCTTTTATAAGCGAGCCAAAAAAAGACAAAACTTAACAATGGAAAACCAATAAATTAATATTAATTAATACGATATCTATTATAATTTTATTTCTTAGAAGTCCCAGTCCTGAGCCAATATATAGCACTGATGGTAAGATTAAGTTTTAGTAATATATATATATTGATATAAAGATTAGGATGGAATAATTTTTAAAAATAAATTTACGAATCAAGCAGTAGTCAAGTTTCGAACAAAAAAGCGATGAAAATGATTATAAATATAAATATTTCACTTGCTTTGTTTAAAATTGAAAGAAGATAGAAATAACTTCTTAACTGTGCAATTAAAACCAATAACTGTCATATTCACATTAATTTCTTAATTTAGGTAAACGTTTGAACACTCGTGAATTTCGTACTCGAAAGAAATTGGAGGAACAGCGTCATTTGTTAATAACACGAATGCAATGTATGAATCCAGAATTTAAGCCACCAGCCGATTACAAGTAAAACTCACCTGATTTTTTTGTTAAAATCATCAAATGCATTACTTTATTTTTTTAAAGGCCTCCAATTACACGGGTTAGTGATAAGGTATTAATTCCTCAAGAAGAATATCCTGACATCAATTTCGTAGGATTATTAATAGGACCACGAGGAAATACATTAAAAGGTATAAACAAAAATCTCATAGTTTTAGCCAAATCAATGTTATAAGGTGCGCGAAGTTCGTTTAACCGCACCATAAATTCTTCAGTTTTCACTTTTATAAACACTTTAAGGATGGCAACTATTTTTTATTTTTAAAGCTGTTTCCAAGTTTGTTTTAAATTAGTAAAGATAAGTCAGCTAAAGGTTGTGCCTTGTTAAATTAATTAATTTTTTTATAAATTACAACAACAAAGTGCAAAGTTCGTTTAGCCGCACTTTGAAAATATTAAAATTTTGAGCTGCAAACGTTATTTATTGTACTTATTCTATTCTTAAAGTATTTAAGCAACAAAAATCTATGTTTGCAGACAGTTCCAGAATTTTCTATTAAGTTTTTCACGAGATTTTCCTTCATTTATTTTGTCTTACTGAAAATATCTTCAAAATTAATTTCTTCATCTTTAATCGGTTTTAGGACAAAAATTTGAGAAAAATATGTTTGAGGTGAAAATTTTTCACCACTTTGTTATAATCATTAACAACTTTTGACAAAACTGTACATATCATATAAAATTTGAATAGCCTACCGTATTTATCATATTAAACTTGACATAAAACAGAAAACTGCATAGTTCTCCGACTAAAAGAACTTGAAAATTTTATGAAATATTTAGGTTGTGGTGAAAAATTTCCACATAGAAAAATAAATTTCAAAAAACCTTCATTCATTAATGTTTTAATGATCATTTTTAATTGTTCTTCTTAAGGAAACACTGTTTAAACTTTATTGAAATGAAGCAAAAGCTTAATACAGGTTAACAGGATTCAGGATAAAAAAACATGGCACAACCTTTAGCTGACTTATCTTTACTAATTTAAAACATACTTGGAAACAGCTTTAAAAATAGTAAATAGTTGCCATCCTTAAAGTGTTTATAAATGTGAAAACTGAAGAACTTATGGTGCGGTTAAACGAACTTCGCGCACCTTATTAATGCATATAACGTTTGAATATATTTGGGAAAATGTGTCAAAAACTTTGTATCATTAACAGAAGACAATTTGTTTTAATTTGAATTAATAGCAATGGAAAAGGAAACTGGTGCAAAAATTATTATAAGAGGCAAAGGATCAGTAAAAGAAGGAAAGGTTGGAAGAAAAGATGGACAACCTTTGCCTGGCGAAGGTATATATATATATATTTTTTTAAACATTTCCGAATTTCGTTTTCATGTTGAATTCTGTTATTTTGCATACATGTCAGATGAACCTCTACATGCTTTTATTACTGCAAATAATCTTGAATCGGTTAAGAAAGCAGTAGACAAAATTAAAGAGGTTATAAAGCAAGGAATTGAAGTTCCAGAAGGAAGTAATGATTTACGAAGAATGCAATTGCGTGAACTGGCACAGTTAAATGGAACTTTGAGAGAAACCGATGGACCTCGTTGTACAAATTGTGGAAGTTCAGAACATAAGAGTTTTCTGTGTCCAGATAAACCAAATGTAACAAATAATATAGTTTGTTCAGCTTGCGGATCAGCTGGTCACATTTCGAAAGATTGTAAATCAAAAAGACCTGGACTTGGTGGAATAGAGGGATCAAATAATCAAGCAAAAATTGACGAAGAATATATGAGTCTTATGGCTGAACTTGGAGAAGCTCCCCAAGAAACAATAACTCCACGTGAAGCTCTGGTTCCACCACTTCCCACCCAAAAGCCATCATTTAATATTTTCGATAACCCGAGACATCAATCGAGACCTTTATCAAACCTTAACAATAACATCAATAATAATGGAAATATGCTTACTCAAGGTCCTTCAGTCGCTCCACCACCTCCTTGGCATCAACAGTAAGTAGATAAAACATTTATTGCTTGAATATTGTAGTTTTTTTTTCCATTTTTTTAAAATTTTACAAAATACCTGATTTCACTAATGGCTTTTACAAGATCTCTCTTTAATCAACAATAATATGATACTAAAAGACATAATTGATGGTCAAATTTCCCATTTTGTTTTTGTATTTTTCTCACGGATTAAAAAAATAAAATAATAATAATGTGTGAAGGGCCCAGCCTTTCAGCTGGAGGCACTCCGATTCAAATTAGAACAGAATCTATTGTACCACACCCTTTAGACCTCCAGTTTATAGTGGGGTCCGAACCACTTGCAAGCTCTGCACATTGCAAAGACACGAGTACGTCATAAGACCTGATGTACCCTGCAATGTACCTAGTCACAATTCGTGTGCGCAAGATGCCGTAAGGAAGTCATCCAGATGCTAGTATATCCTTGTATACCTAGCAAAGGAGGCAGATTCTGTGCCAAAGACCTTAAAACTACACCCACCACACGAACCGAGCTTCGTAACTAGAACGATGAGTGGAAAAAGAGCTTCGAAAATTATACATGGCCTGGGATTGAACCCAGGACCTTTGGCACGTAAGGCCAACGCTCTACCATTTAGGCCACTGATGCCATTTCACCGCAGAAAAATAAAAGCTCATTTATAACTTGTTGACATAAAAAATCAAAAAATCTCATTAATGAATGCATAACGACGAGAAGCAATGTAGTATGTTGATAGATAAAGGTGGAGTTTATCATCTAGTACCTATTTTTTGGGCACAAACTTAACAGTTTTCTTAAATTTCCAATTCTTTGGATGAAGGTTTAATTTTTATGACAAAGAATCCAAATAACTTAATTCATGCATAGTTTCAATACTCAGAACTAAAATAATCTGATAGATTTTGGTCTAATACACTATTTAAACCAATAAAAAATGAGAGCCGAAAAACCAAAAACTAATCAAGTTATAGTTTATCATCTTGATTTTATTCTTTCTTTGATATCACACAACTTTTCTTTCAACAGCCCTCCGCCACCAGTACAACCACATCCACATCCAATGGGTCAATAGTGAGTTTCTCGTTTAACACCGATTTTATTAAAACATTTTTTTAAATAATGGATTTTTTTTTCGATAATTTATTCACAAAGTCCTCCTTTGCCGGGTCATCATCCGTGGCTGACTTTACCACCTTTACCTGGAGAATATTCTGGACATCAAAAAATGAATATTCCTCCACCTCACATCATGCCACCATTACAAAATCAACAACCATTGATGATTCCACCACCTCCAGGTAAATACTTTGTACCATTAAAATTCTTGAATATTGAGTTAACATCCTTTTGAATGTACTTTCATTAATGTTTTGTGGTTTATTTAAGCTTCAAACCTTTAATTTTTGGATTAAAAGCTAATGATTGTAAGAGATTTGTCTCGATAGTGACTACATATGTATACTTTATTCATACCAACGATCTCTCAACTTTAAAGATGTTCAAAATAGACGATAAAATTGGTTATAACTCTAAAATATCTTAATTGGTTTTTAGAATCAGAATTTGTAATTTATGAAGCTTTTTTCATATACAAACATTAACCCTTAATCCAAAAATGTTAAAGCTTTCTTTTAATATCAACTATATAGCATAATGATGCATATTAAATTTTTAAACGCATTTTTGTATACTTGTATACAAAAGGGAGCTTAGTTTTGCGAAATGTTCGTTCGTGCTTTCGGCTGCTCGTTCGGGCGAAGAAAAACTTTTGAACCAGACATCGTAGAAAACTCGGGTTTGTTTTATTAGCTCCGTTACTATCGATTTATCGAATGGTTAAAATTCTTCAAACCATGTATTTATGCTATAATTAATGATTTTTTAATTTCATAAACAAAACCACTTAATGAGTACGTTTAAAAATTTGAATTTTTTCCCTCCACTTTAAAAACTGCTCAGGGTATGTTCAGAAATTCAAATTTCTACCGCTAAATTATTTGAATCTCAAGAAACCGTTAAATGAAAATTTCTTTTGAATTCAAGAAAATGGGTAATTGACAAATACGATTTCTGGTTAAAAAGTGTTTCTAGTCCCGAACGAACGAACAAAGTGAATTATTAAGCTACCTATTCAAAACAAGTTTCAAAAATGCGCTGATAAATAAAGATGAAATTTCTAATTTTGACCCACCTTATATAATAAATATTGCAGGAACTGATGTTTTGCCGCCAGGTACACATCCCATCACTTTCAATAGTTTTGATGACGAGCGTTTTGGAAAAAAGGGCCAGCCACCATTACCTAGTTTTTTGCCTCCACCTCCTCCTCCTGAATAGACGCATTTTTCTGCAATTATTTTAAGTCACAATAAGTGTTGTTGAAAATAATATTCAACATTTAAAACACAACAACAGCAACAAACAAGCGAAATGACTTTTTAATACTTTCTTTGAACTACGATTTATTATTATTCATTTTTCTCTCAAATTTATACCACTTAGAAATTGGCCTTAATTAAATAAATGTGTTGTATTTCTTAACACTTATGTGAAACAAATTTTTTTTTCTTCTGATTATCATCATCGTCATATGAAATACAGAAAAATTCAATGATATTGATTCTTTCAACTGATTCTGAAAATACAATACAAATTCATCATGTCAATATTTTCAGCTCAAATTCGATTCCTTTTATAATCCATCCTTATAAGTTAGATAATTAATTACAAAAAAATTAATAAAATTAAGATTAAAGCGACTACAATCAGAATTCGCATTCAATAATTCTCGTACTGTTTTTGCATTCTTTCGTTTGTTTTGTTGTGTTTATGCCCACAAATGAAAGAGCCGATTGGTAATTCAGAAATAAAAAAGTGATTCTTTTGATCAAGAGACAGACTGGGAACAGAAAGGGAAAAACATGATAATTTAATAATAAAATGAAATGAAAGATCTTTTTTTTTTAGTTGAGAATGCACTAATCATGTATCTGATAATGGTCGCATATAATTAAAACATTTTCGACAATTTTGGGATTCCTTTCGTGTATGTGACACTTTAAACTTGCCTCATGCATTCTATTAAAGAACTTAAGCATAAAAGAAACTGAATCACTTTTCTATGTCATTATTCTTAATCCTTCTTATCATTTAAAATCTTTCTTTTCTTTTTCAGGAATTAACTATTGAACATTTCATTGTGTTCTCAAAATTATTATTATATTTTTTATCAATATGTGAAAAAATATTTCAATTCATTCAGGTCTTGTCTACTGTATCAATCAGCATGCATTACTATTCTGTGTATATTATATATTGCGGACTTTCATCCATTTCTTCATTATATTGTGGCTGTTGTGCTGCTTGTTGCTGCTGTATGACATTACGGCTTCCTGAATTTTTCCTTCTATTTGCGCATCAAAATAATAAAAAAAATATATATATTTGAATAAAAATCAATGTATTATATTAAAATTGAATAATAGTCAACTAACTTGGCTTTGGCGTGAGTGAGAATGTGAGATTTCAGATTTGTTGATTGGGCAAATTTCTTATTGCATCCATCGAATGGACAAACATAAGGACGATCACCAGTATGAATGCGAACATGAGTTCTGTTTTTAAAGAAAATAAAAATAATTAAATGTTACTAATAAGAATGCATTAAGTTTAATCGTTTTTTACCGTAAATTAAAATCAAGCGAGAATCTCTTGCCGCAGCCTTCAAAAGTACACTTTGGAAAAAGATAAATGTTTAATATTAATTTATTAGTTATTCTTTTTTGAAATATTATCATGTCATACCTGAAATGGTTTTTCTCCTATTAAAAGCAAATAAAAGAAGAAAAAGAAAACTTAAAATATTTCTTAGATATAAGATCAAGTGGCTAATAATGTACCTGTATGCACAAGCTGATGCCTTTTCAATTTTGAACTTTCAACGAATGCCTTTCCTATTTTTTTTAACAATCAAAAATAAATGTTTAATGGTTTTTTGGAATATGTTCTATAATATCTTACCACATTCAGCACAGACATGCACACGAGGTCCATGTGTATGCAAATGTTTCCTCATTGCTGAATTATCTCTAAACATTTTACTACAGCCTTTATGGGGACATGCTAAAACAAAAAAAAAATATAAATATTATAAAGAATTAATCACTATATATAGTAATAAAAAAAAAAAACTACCAATGCTTCTGATTTCGTGTTCATTTGTATTTGGCTCCTTCTTAATTTTAAGTTTGTTGACAGGTTTTGCGAATTCTGCAAGCTGCTTCGGATCAGACAAATCTACTCCTGTGATTGGTAGTGGAGGATCTTGTACAATTCGTTTACTATTCATATATTCAGTATAATCGGGATCGACTTCAGGATTTGAACCATCTTCGTCGTCAGTTTCTGAGGATGCCCACATTGTTACACTAAATTCACCTTCCATTGTTTTTATTTGTACTTGTCTCTGTTTCCATCTCCTTGATTTTGATTCGCTCGGCTCTATGATGTTTATATTATCCAGCTCAATGTTTTCTGTCGGCGGTTGTGGAATCATTGATGATGATGTTGATGGGAGACTTCTATTGACAATACGTTGTTTCGAAGTTGATTTTCGAGATCTAAAATTCAATAAATGAATTTATGTTTTAAATGAGGATGTACAAAGTTTTCAGTGAAAGCTTAATATTTTACCCATATTTTAATGACGGTCCTTGGTCTAAGTAAATTTCATTTTCCAGCGCTACTTCGTAGATATTATTTAATGCAACTCCTTCAGTCATCTCTTCGTGTCCATGTAAATCAGCTTCTGTATGTAATATTACTTCCTCGGCAAAACATGGTATATCTGGATGTTTGATTTGATTTTGAATGAGTTTCGAGAGAGAAAAAAAAGCGTTTTTGTTTATTTACTATTATCTTTTTTAATCGCTTTAAAAAATATTAACAATAAATATTGCGCATTTTACATACCATCCATCATTGAGAAGTCCTCCGTCCTACCTATCTCATCGTAGTGCTCATTATTCATTTTTTAAAACTTTTCTATACCTCCTTTTTACGATTCCTTCCTGTATCTTTTATCCTCTTTTACCGAAAATTCAAATCTAAAAAAATTATTTTGATTTTCAGTCACTTTAAACACACACGCAAGGTTTTAACACTGATAATGACAATTGTCGAGTTTTATAATTTCGATTTATGTATTACATATGTTCAGAAAAATGTTAATTTCCACTTTAATTTTAATATTTTTTATAATTATTTTAGCTATATTTATAAAAAGAAAATTTGGTATTCTCAGCAATAAACTCTGTTTGAAAAAAAAGTGACAGTTGACAGTTGTAGTATATTAGGGCACGCTTTACCAACGTTTTGGTTTTTCATTTTAGAAGAACGATTATTAGTAAGTATCCAAAAACTTTTAACTTGGGTCAAAATTAATGCAACAGTATAGAATTATTGTTTTGAAGTGTAAAATAGAAAACCTTTACTTAGTCAAACAACTTGAAACTTCTTGGATAATTAAAATAATGGACTCTTTATTTTAATCCTTGCAGAATAGCAAAATGGAACTTTTAACTTTAAATAAACTTCTTTTCACGATAACAATATTTACAATAATAATCAGATTCCTCCGATCAATATATACATAACTTAATTATTCAACAGTTTTATTGATTTAAAAACATTCGCACGAATTGCTTTGTCAGTTTGAGCAATTTCTGTGAAGTTCTGGCAGATTTGCAGTCGAAAATGTTAAATAGTAGCTACTTTTGCACTAGATTGCATCATAAATTCACTGTATCTCTTAAATAATGTTTAACAAATTTTTTGTCATGCTTTATTGATTTAAGAACATTCACAGAAGTTGCTTTGTCAGTTTGAACAATTTCTGTGAAGTTCTGGCAGATTTGCAGTCGAAAATGTTAAAAAGTAGCTACTTTTCCACTAGGTTGCTTCATAAATTCACTGTATCTTTGAAATAATGTTTAACAAATTTTTTGTCATGCTTTATTGATTTAAGAACATTCACAGAAGTTGCTTTGTCAGTTTAAGCAATTTCTGTGAAGTTCTGGCAGATTTGCAGTCGAAAATGTTAAAAAGTAGCTACTTTTCCACTAGGTTGCAACATAAATTCACTGTATCTTTGAAATAATGTTTAACAAATTTTTTGTCATGCTTTATTGATTTAAGAACATTCATAGAAGTTGCTTTGTCAGTTTGAGCAATTTCTGTGAAGTTCTGGCAGATTTGCAGTCGAAAATGTTAAAAAGTAGCTACTTTTCCACTAGGTTGCAACATAAATTCACTGTATCTTTGAAATAATGTTTAACAAATTTTTTGTCATGCTTTATTGATTTAAGAACATTCATAGAAGTTGATTTGTCAGTTTGAGCAATTTCTGTGAAGTTCTGGCAGATTTGCAGTCGAAAATGTTAAAAAGTAGCTACTTTTCCACTAGGTTGCAACATAAATTCACTGTATCTTTGAAATAATGTTTAACAAATTTTTTGTCATGCTTTATTGATTTAAGAACATTCATAGAAGTTGCTTTGTCAGTTTGAGCAATTTCTGTGAAGTTCTGGCAGATTTGCAGTCGAAAATGTTAAATAGTAGCTACTTTTCCACTAGGTTGCTTCATAAATTCACTGTATCTTTGAAATAATGTTTAACAAATTTTTTGTCATGCTTTATTGATTTAAGAACATTCACAGAAGTTGCTTTGTCAGTTTGAGCAATTTCTGTGAAGTTCTAGTACTTTTCCACTAGGTTGCTTCATAAATTCACTGTATCTTTGAAATAATGTTTAACAAATTTTTTGTCATGCTTTATTGATTTAAGAACATTCACAGAAGTTGCTTTGTCAGTTTGAGCAATTTCTGTGAAGTTCTGGCAGATTTGCAGTCGAAAATGTTAAAAAGTAGCTACTTTTCCACTAGGTTGCAACATAAATTCACTGTATCTTTGAAATAATGTTTAACAAATTTTTTGTCATGCTTTATTGATTTAAGAACATTCACAGAAGTTGCTTTGTCAGTTTGAGCAATTTCTGTAAAGTTCTGGCAGATTTGCAGTCGAAAATGTTAAATAGTAGCTACTTTTGCACTAGATTGCATCATAAATTCACTGTATCTCTGAAATAATGTTTAACAAATTTTTTGTCATGCTTTATTGATTTAAGAACATTCACAGAAGTTGCTTTGTCAGTTTGAGCAATTTCTGTAAAGTTCTGGCAGATTTGCAGTCGAAAATGTTAAATAGTAGCTACTTTTGCACTAGATTGCATCATAAATTCACTGTATCTCTGAAATAATGTTTAACAAATTTTTTGTCATGCTTTATTGATTTAAGAACATTCACAGAAGTTGCTTTGTCAGTTTGAGCAATTTCTGTGAAGTTCTGGCAGATTTGCAGTCGAAAATGTTAAATAGTAGCTACTTTTCCACTAGGTTGCTTCATAAATTCACTGTATCTTTGAAATAATGTTTAACAAATTTTTTGTCATGCTTTATTGATTTAAGAACATTCACAGAAGTTGCTTTGTCAGTTTGAGCAATTTCTGTGAAGTTCTGGCAGATTTGCAGTCGAAAATGTTAAAAAGTAGCTACTTTTCCACTAGGTTGCTTCATAAATTCACTGTATCTTTGAAATAATGTTTAACAAATTTTTTGTCATGCTTTATTGATTTAAGAACATTCACAGAAGTTGCTTTGTCAGTTTTAGCAATTTCTGTGAAGTTCTGGCAGATTTGCAGTCGAAAATGTTAAAAAGTAGCTACTTTTCCACTAGGTTGCAACATAAATTCACTGTATCTTTGAAATAATGTTTAACAAATTTTTTGTCATGCTTTATTGATTTAAGAACATTCATAGAAGTTGCTTTGTCAGTTTGAGCAATTTCTGTGAAGTTCTGGCAGATTTGCAGTCGAAAATGTTAAATAGTAGCTACTTTTCCACTAGGTTGCTTCATAAATTCACTGTATCTTTGAAATAATGTTTAACAAATTTTTTGTCACGCTTTATTGATTTAAGAACATTCACAGAAGTTGCTTTGTCAGTTTGAGCAATTTCTGTGAAGTTCTGGCAGATTTGCAGTCGAAAATGTTAAAAAGTAGCTACTTTTCCACTAGGTTGCTTCATAAATTCACTGTATCTTTGAAATAATGTTTAACAAATTTTTTGTCATGCTTTATTGATTTAAGAACATTCACAGAAGTTGCTTTGTCAGTTTGAGCAATTTCTGTGAAGTTCTGGCAGATTTGCAGTCGAAAATGTTAAAAAGTAGCTACTTTTCCACTAGGTTGCAACATAAATTCACTGTATCTTTGAAATAATGTTTAACAAATTTTTTGTCATGCTTTATTGATTTAAGAACATTCATAGAAGTTGCTTTGTCAGTTTGAGCAATTTCTGTGAAGTTCTGGCAGATTTGCAGTCGAAAATGTTAAAAAGTAGCTACTTTTGCACTAGATTGCATCATAAATTCACTGTATCTCTGAAATAATGTTTAACAAATTTTTTGTCATGCTTTATTGATTTAAGAACATTCACAGAAGTTGCTTTGTCAGTTTGAGCAATTTCTGTAAAGTTCTGGCAGATTTGCAGTCGAAAATGTTAAATAGTAGCTACTTTTGCACTAGATTGCATCATAAATTCACTGTATCTCTGAAATAATGTTTAACAAATTTTTTGTCATGCTTTATTGATTTAAGAACATTCACAGAAGTTGCTTTGTCAGTTTGAACAATTTCTGTGAAGTTCTGGCAGATTTGCAGTCGAAAATGTTAAAAAGTAGCTACTTTTCCACTAGGTTGCTTCATAAATTCACTGTATCTTTGAAATAATGTTTAACAAATTTTTTGTCATGCTTTATTGATTTAAGAACATTCATAGAAGTTGCTTTGTCAGTTTGAGCAATTTCTGTGAAGTTCTGGCAGATTTGCAGTCGAAAATGTTAAATAGTAGCTACTTTTGCACTAGGTTGCTTCATAAATTCACTGTATCTTTGAAACTAAATATTTTCTTTTTTTGCTACTTACCAACTTTGTGCGTGCACGTACAATATTTTATCCACTATCATACTTCATTTGCAATTTGTATTGCCTTTAATTAATTAATGTTCACTAAACAACTTTATATATATCGAAACATGTATGATGTTCTTAGCTTTTATGCTTAACTACCCGAGAGGGATAATAAAACCAAATCAATCAATCAATCAATCAATCAATCAAACCATGTTAAACAAATTTTTTGTCAAGTTTTTGTTGGATAATTAAAATAATGGATTCTTTATTTTAATCCTTGCATAATAGCAAAATGGAACTTTTAACTTTAAATAAACTTCTTTTCACGATAACAATATTTACAATAATAATCAGATTCCTACGATCAATATATACATAACTTAATTATTCAACACTCCTCCTTAATATTAACTTCGGATATATTATGTTAATATTACTAACGCAGTCCACAATCGTCAGTAAATTTCTTCAGTTTAATATTTCCCAACGGCTTGGTCATCATATCAGCTATATTTACATCAGTGCTGCAATACTTCAGTTCAATCTCTCCTAAATCAACCAATTGCTTCACATAATAGTATTTAGTATCAATGTGTTTGCTTCTGTTGCTAAATTTCTGATTAGATATCAATTTCATACTACTTTGACTGTCCGTATACAGAATAACTTTATCTGGAACGACAAACTCAGAAAAAGAATCGGTCAACATTTTAACCCATCCCACGTAACAAAAATCGCCGTCAATGAAAAAATCGACTTAAATGTACAATTTTTTGGATGATCCAATAGACGTCGATTTTTCATCCATTACATTCGTTTTTCTTGAGCCGCTATATACTTCACAAGTGCAATCAGAAATCACTTATATAAGGCACAGCAAAATTTTCATACAAAGTGTGATTAATTAATTAAATTAATTACATGCGAATCATTCATCTAAATGAAGACTTCGATTCTTTTTTTCAAAGACAAAATCCTCAATTATTTTTTTTGGATGTTGTCTACAAAATATAGTATAATTAACAAGAAATATTTTCATACAAAAAAATTCAAAATTTTTCCGTTAATCGGTTTTTATATTGTAACGGTCAAAAAAAATTTGATTTTGGTTCAAAAAAATAATCGACGTGAAATCGACGTAAAATCGACTAAAAATCGTCCTTTTTCATATTAGCATAATGTCCAATGTACGATACATGGAATGTACATATGGAACATACATGGAAGATTTTGATGTAATACATAAAATCTTCCATTCGTCGACTTATGGTTACGTGGGATTTTAGCTCT